ATCCGGTTATTAAACGACAGGTTTCGTTTAAGGCTGTATCCACGAGCTTTTCACGAGCCGAGCGGCCCCATACGGGGCACGCGAATTAGTTGGCAGAAAATGTTAGCGCTAGGCCTGAAGTCCGCAACACATGTGACGTAGCTCCCCTCAGTGCGTACTAAACGCTGTAGCAGGTTGTGGCGGCAGTGCACCTTTCGTTTAAGGCACTCACGATTCTCTAGCAGGACGCCGAGGTATTTAGGAGAGTCGTTATGAGCAATGAGCTCTCCACGCCAGGAGATCACGAGCCTACGTCCCGCTTGTGCGTTGCGCAGATGGAACACGCTCGACTCAGTCTTGGTTGGGTTAGGAGTGAGTTCTCGTCCTCCGGGTGACAGACGTGGGGACGTCTGTCACCTAACGGTATGAGGCCCCACGGAGGCAAAGTGCCCATTGGTGTCATGGGCACTCATGGGGAGAACGGGGACAAAAGTCCCTTCGTGGTGTGCCCCGGCCCTGTGTAGGGGTGGGGTAGCCGTGGCTGGGTTGCAGCAGAATCGCTTTAGCGGGCTCTGCAACCCAGCATTACCACGGCAGAGGAGGACACCCGATGGGTTTTAGTTGGTAGGTCTGCCCTTTTCAGGGAGTCCAACATAACTCCTTCTTCCCCCGCAGGAGAGTATGCGTGATGTATTTCCCATCGATAAAAAAAAGGAGTGAGTTCTCATTGTAGTATTGGCCTAAACTGTTGAGAGCTGCGGTGAGATTGTCCTCAATTTCGTCGAAACTGGTCGATTGGGACGTAAGAGCAAGATCGTCCGCGTGAAGGAAGCGGGAGGTTTTTAGACTCGATGGTTGGTCGTTGGTGTTTATGTTGAACAACATTGGGGCCAGTATGCTGCTCTGGGGAGGCCATTTTTTTGTTCCCTCCAACGGATGACGTCCTTAAGGTGAAACTGGAAAAAACGATTATAGAAGAGGTCTCGGAGAATATTGACAAAATTAATGTCTGTGGTCATAGTCCTCCACCTTTCTCAATAGTCGCCTCAGATTAATTGTGTCGTACGAGTAGGCTGCCGAGAGATCTACAAACACAGCGCCTGTCATTCTTCCCCTCTCAAAGCCATCCTCAATGTGTTGCGTGAGCTTAAGTACATGGTTGCAACACGATTTTATGGGTCTGAAACCTGCCTGCTCTGGAATCAATCTTAGATTTGTAAGGCTTGTGAGGCGAGTTAGTAGAAGGTTTTCAAAAAGTTTGTATGTATGGCACAGTAATGCGATAGGCCTAAAATTTTTGGGGTCATCTAATGGTTTCCCTGGCTTAGGTAAAGCTATGACCTTCCAGATGCGAGGTATCTGGGAAGTTTCAAAACAACATTGAACACTTGAAGCAACCAGTACACTGCGACCGGCCCAAGTACTTTAATCTGCTTCACGGAGATGTTATCAACTCCTTTTGAGAGGCTTTGCCATTTTTGAGAACTTTTATACCCGCAATGATGTCAGACAAGTGGAAGGGCTTACTAATGTGGTCAGAGGCATTACCGGTGTTCACCTTTGGAATCCCGGGGAGGCGGCTGGGTGATTTGCCGTTCAGTCACACTTATCGTTCATCCTAGATCTAAACTGGAACCACCAACAAACATACAAAGTTTAGCTGTATAATTTATAATCGATAATTTTTTTAAAAACAATTTTATCTGTTACAACTATATTAGCTACAGTTAAATGAATATCAAAATTGTCATTTATTTTTAAATCTACAAAAATACGAAATATCCACTTCATTTTTGTCCTGTATAAATATTTTAACTAAATAAATATGCCTGAGTTAGTGAGATTAGTTAGTTAGTGAGTTGATTTTAGTTCGAGCATCCATCACACACATGGGTCTTTTGAACGCGTCTTGCTAGGCTACGCGTATTACGAGCTCATATAATTGAATAACGACTTGTATCTCCGAGGTAGTAGGTACGGTCGATTATCATTTGGCATTGGTATCCATCTCACTCACACATAATTTTGTCGAACAGATCTCCAATCGAGTCTTACAAGGCAACGAGTACGAGTATCAAATGCAATGGGATCTGATTGATCAAACTTATCAATATACTTGTTACATTTGTACTCAATTATGATATAGTGTCAAAACTTGTTTCAGCTATGAAGCCTATATAGCCGAATTAGAGGTGAAGCGTATATAACGCCTCAGCTCTAATTCGGATTCTTAGCTGCTATTAAGATGGAGCGACTAATGTTACAATAATTGGCTAATTAACTTAAATTCAATTCGTTTATTATTTAATTTAAATAATGTATCCTTCAGACCGGCGTGATGTGGAAGTATATACTTTCGTGTTTCGTCTGGTGAGTGTGATAACCGGGCCTTACTTTTTAATAGTAGGTAACGCCTCTACCATCAGATGTTATAGATTTCCATGGGCGGTGGTAAAAAATTAACATAAGGTGAACCGCCTGCTAAGCGAGCAGCCAACTCTCATATTCTGTATACCTATATATAAAAATCGATGTTTGTATGTTTGTCCACTATAGACTCCAAAACGGCTGGAGTGATTTTCATGAAATTTTTATCCAACCATCAGATAAGGCATGCGGGTGATCCCGTGAAGTTTGTTATCGATATCGAGGATCAACAGATGTTTTTTTTAAATAATTAGCGCTACCCGTGCAAGACAAGGCACCGCCCTTGCTATTTACTGATAAAAGACATTTAAATATGTGCAATCGTTGTGCAAAGGGACTTAATTAAAACTTTTAAATGTAATAGAACATGCAGCAGTTGCTGCTCTTGCACGAATGTGCAGCCTCGTGTAAATACGACGCCCTCACAGAAGGTCAGGGTAAAGTTTAAGTATCGTACTTTTGCGTTTCGTGTGATGAGTGAGTTACAGGGGCCCAATTTTTTTAAAGTTGGTAACTCATCTAACACTTCAGAGTTGTATATTTTCACGTGCAGCGGTAGTTACTTAACATCAGGCGAACTACTTGCGCGTTTAGCAATTTCCCACATAAGAAATAATGGTATGTGTAAATTACAATGTATATGGTATACATTGTAATATGTATGTAATCAATCTTTCCAAAATAACAAGATTGTTTTTATTCTAATTTACTTTAACATAACTAGTCTAGTTATGTCATGGATGCTCGGAAGCATGTTTAACGTCCTATAAATTTATTTCTGAACATTATTTTTAATTCTACAGGCTGAGTCGCTGTTATCTCCTCCAAAACTGTTTTGGAATTATGATTTGTCCAATAATACAGTGCAGATTTGGAAAAAATTTGCTACTCAAGGATTAAGCCACTGACCTATAACAGGTATATTTTTACCTGTCACATGAGCTTTTTACCCACCATCGTACATGGCAATATGATTCGGTATTGTAAGCGAATTGAAACTTCGTTGCTGCTATCACATGATCCCATCCTATGGTCATCTATCCGATGAACTTTCACGAAATTCCTAGATATCGAAGCGAAAACAAATCTACCTATGAAGGTGATGTCAACGATGCCGTCTGTGCCAGAGCAGTGTTAGTGCGAGAGTTAGAGCAGTCTAAGGTATGATCCTAAAACCCCAAATAAAATAGCTCTGATTAGAAAGATCACTTGAGATTTTTGTGTTGTCTTCGTGATATCATAAATCGTTATAAAAGAGAGCTTTCGACGAACAATATATAGACAATATAATAGAAATCTTCCAAATCACCAAGACAGAAAGTACACTAGTGTAATTTCCATTCAACGACGAAAACGTTGTACAATTTTAAAAGAAACTAGAAATATGTAAAAATCAAATTAAAACGGGGTAAAAATGCGTAAAATAGTTTCATATGAATCTTTTCTCCTTAGAGGTTATATTACCGGTAGACCTTCACAAAGGAAGAATGTTATGAATTATGGTTGAGTATTTCATAATGTATACCTAAGTGGGCTTTGTTTCCATTTTTTCATTGCACATCTAAAGGGGCCCATTCACTATCCTGCCTGGCAGTCCGCCGCTTTATGCAGGATTGTGAATGGTGTTGCAGGCCTGCAAAGTTTCTGGCAACACCGAGCAGGACGCGCCTTGCATCCTGCAAGGGGCCTGCAAGCTCCGCCCACCGCTTGCAGTCCGCCGCGCAGGAGCGTCAGTGGTTTGGCCCTGCATAGCGGCAGTGCTGCCATGTAACGAGAAAAGACGCACTAAGCCCTTATCAAAATTGCGCTATATTATACGAAAATACGGATGCTAAATTAGGAATTTTTTTGTCGTAAATTTAGACAATAGATATTTACAATAGAAATTTTGTTTGAGGTAATTTTTTTAGAAATATTTTTAGGAATTAAATTTTATTCACATGTGTAAAAAAATCTACACAGGACTGGGTACTTTATTTTAAACAAAAATAAACGTGCGCATCCCGGGAAGCCCGACTGATGTGATAACTAAAACTAAGCTAAAAAACTTTTTTATATTGAAATAGTTCAACTTGAGAAAAGCTTAATAACTACATTAAATAATTTAACATTAATACGGATATTACGCACATTTTAATTTTGGTATCTGGCCACATCGATCATCTTTTTTCCATTTCTTGTCAGAGAGTATAGCAGTGGCAATATGGCTGTAGCTTTCGAGTTTCGCTGGTAGTGCGCGGTACTCGCATCGATTCAACTATAGAGCATAGTATTTCCGACGCCTCTTAAAGTTTCATTTTTAAATTTTAGTGGTTGTTATTTGCGTTTCCATTGTTTTAACCTAAGTTTTTAAGAAAAAAATCTAGGTTTTCATTTTCGTCGTCACCAGAATTCATGCGACGACAAAATGGCGTCGCTTGACAAGATTTTACTGCAAAACATTTTTTTCAATTTTATTGTCTTTTTGTAAAAATATGTTTTAAATGTTGTAATTAGTGATTTCTTATACTTTTTTGCAAATGAATTATTTAGTTTTCCTCAGTTTTTACCGTCAAATATTTAAAAAGCAGTGTATTCTTTGATTTTTCTGCAAAATGCTCTTGGTAAGTGTTTTTACAGCTTTTTCGTGATTGTTTTGGTGTATAATTATACAATTTTCATATTTTTTGGATAAGATTTATTGTAGAATGTTCTGGAAGTCATGGGTGTGGCCTCGAATTTAGTTGAATTTTTGAGACGTAATTCTAAATAAATCGTTTTCTGTGATTGTTTACTATATATTTTTGTGATTTTATGTATTAAAATGTCGCAGCTTTTATGATTAAAGTGTTTTTAATCATTCTCTGTTACGTAATCTTTTCATAGAGGCCAGTGAAATATGTTTTAGAAAAGGACTCTTTTTTGCAATTTAGCTTTGAAAATAGGTCTCACCAAAGGGTGCTTGTTGATATTTGTGTATTTGAGGTTATGTTTAGTTCATTTTGTTATTACTATTACAAAAGGGTTCGTTTTCAAATTGCACTACCCAGGGCTTTGCATTAAAAGGAAGGCAAGGAAAATATTGTCTTGGTAAAATATTTTTGATGTTTATGTTCAAATTACTTCCATTTTTGAGGTTATGGAAGATAGCCTTTTGTTTTCAAAACCAGCACTCTTAAAAATTGTGGTTATTCTGCACTATTTAAAGCTTTTTAAACTTTATTTAGACTGTCCATAAAATAAATAAAACAAAAAATGTAATTAATGAGCACATGACCATTGTTATTGTATTCATCTATGCTTTTCATGTTCTTTTTATATTTTTTATACATAATTTTGTAAACTTAATCAGTATAAGTAATTTAAAATATACATTAAATATATTACAAAGATAAAGGAAAGTGTTATATTTATTTTTTAAATCTTATTGTTTCAGACGGGTTCCATGAATGAATCGGGTAGTGAATCTATGAGTGATAAAGGTGAAAGAAGCGATACAAGTGGGTCTGCTTCTGGAAGTGAAAGGTTTGTATTTTATTATATTAATTAGTTTATCACTTAAAATCAGTATTGATGTAATTATTTTAACAGTGAAAGTGGCTCGAGTTCTGGGTCAGCATCTGGCTCTGGTGGAAGATCAGGGTCAGAAAAATCTTCCAATGAAGATCGATCACATCACAGTGATGACACCAAGTCATCATCTAAACATAGTAACCCTAATTCCTCCAAATCTGATCATCACACTGACAAAGAATCGTCAAGCGAGGACACCATAAAGCCTAAGTCTAGGAGCAGCCATGGTAAAATTAAATCTGACCTCTGGGAAGATAACCCTGACATTTACGGTATTAGAAGATCTGGACGATCTAGAAAAGAACCAGATAGACTGAAAGTAGCAGATAGTGACTCAAGTGAAAAAGGAAGAAGTCACAATCGGAAAAGTAGAAAGAAAAGGTAAATACAATCATTTAACAAATATCAAGTAATAACTTAGATCTTGTAAATAACAATATGTTTATTTTTAGCGATTCATGGAATTCAGACACATCTGATAGTGATAGTGACATGAAAGGTTCTCCACCTCCTCCTTCAAAAAGACCAGGCCAAAGAAGTGTACCTCTTAGAAAAAGAAAGCCGACAAGGAGAAGAAAGTTTACTAGTGATGAAGATGAAACTTCTGAAGCTTCTGATGAAGAGTCTAGAAGGTAACAATTTATGGTAATATTTTACTAATTGGTGTGTGAATATGAATATCAAATACTTTTTGTTAATTTTTCAATTAATAGAACAGCGACACGAAGAACTGGTGCAGCTGTTAGTTATAAAGAGGCAAGTGATGAACAAACAGATTCTTCAGATCTTCTAGAAGTTGAAGGTGGTGAAGCCGAAGCAGAAGGAGAACCTGAGCCAGAAGACCACAGTGAGACTATAGAAAAGGTTCTTGGACACAGACGAGGGAAGAAAGGAGGTATTGTTAAACTACAATTATCCTGCTCCATAAAGTAGTAGCACATTAAATATTGTTTCCAAATTTGTTATTGAGTCTATACTATCAACCAACCCTTTCTTAATTGGTTTATTTATTGTCAATTAATAATCAAATCAATACAAACTCCCTATATCTTAACTGTAAGTTCTTAGAGATAGCTAATGGTATTCATAGTCCATATCTTTTTAAATAAGGACTAGTATTTTTATAGGGCAAAGAAAACATGATAACACACAAGGTCCACAAGTAACTGAGTTATAATATAGTAATCTTTTCATAGAAGCCCGTGAAACATTTTAGAAAAGAACTTATCAACCTACCTGTCTTAGAGATTGCTAATGGTAACCATATTATTTTTAAAACGTGGTCTATAAGTAATTGAGTTATTCAAGTTTAATAAAGTTATTTTTGATAATGTTTCTTCAATTCACAAAATGTACAATTAACTAAATAATCCTTAAAATCTTGCATTTTGGTGCAAATGACTTGTTAAATTTTAGCTAATGTCTTCTTCTCATTATGCAGTCACTGGCAATGTGACTACGGTTTATTATATAGAAGAGCATGGAGATCTTAATGAGGGTTGTAATCCAGAAGATGAAGAGTCAACTGAACCCCAGTACCTGATTAAGTGGAAAGGATGGTCTCATATACATAATACTTGGGAATCTGAGAAATCACTCAATGAACAGAAAGTTAAAGGATTAAAGAAACTAGAAAATTACATAAAAAAAGAAGCCGAGTTGTCATGGTGGAGACAGAGGGCAGGCCCGGAAGACATTGATTACTATGAATGCCAATCAGAATTGCAGCAAGAACTTGTAAAAACATACAACAATGTTGAGAGAATTATAGGTGGGTTGATGTCCTCATACTTTGAAGTTATACTTATAGCATGTTTAGAAAAAATTTAAATAGCGTACGTGTACACGAATTGCCAAAAGCGACATGTTGAAGTGAGTTGTAAAGTGATCAACTTCATGGTACTGCCATGGCAACCAATAACAACTTTTTGATATTTACCTATGGTTCCAAGTTATCAATTGCATTTAATGCTTTTCCACAAGCAAAGAGTACTGGCAGAGAGTACATTTTTAGTTATTTTTATTTTGTTATGCTACAGAAGTATAGCTTCCTATGGTGTGTATGTATACACATGTTTCTTTTCATGTCTTTAACTAAATAAATTAATTACAGCTGAGCAAACTCGTGAATTGGAGGGTGGTGGGAGTGCTCGAGAATATTATTGTAAATGGGAGTCACTCCCATATGCAGATGCTACATGGGAAGATTCAGCTTTAATTGAGAGGCGGTGGCCAGCTGAAGTAGAACATTTTAAACATAGAGAAGCTGCTAAAACAACACCATCTAGACATTGTCCTGTATTGAGAAGAAGACCAAAATTCCATCAGATTAAAGAACAACCAGAGTATATGGGCAAGGATCAGGTGTGAAAATATAATAACATAGTTCACAATTGAATAATCACATAAAAAAAGAAATAATTTCAATAGTAATAGTTTCTTAAATATTTTTTATTTATTTCTTAGAAGATTGATTATATATCTTAATTTATTTCAGACATATGAACTACGTGATTATCAAATGGATGGATTAAATTGGCTGATACATTCCTGGTGTAAAGATAACTCTGTTATTCTTGCTGATGAAATGGGTTTAGGTAAAACTATACAGGTAATTTTAGCACACATTTCTTTAATTTTAACACAAATTTTTCATAATTTTTACAGAACAATTTTCCCTTAAATTATTCAAAGATTTAATCATATTTTTAATTTGCATCTATTTTACACTGAAAAAAGTCTATTATCTTTGATGGTATTTGTATAATTTTTTGTTACACAATTAGGTAGCTAATTTCTTAAAGATTTATAATGCATTAAAATAACTTTTCCTTTTTAGACTATATGCTTTTTGTACTACTTGTTTAAATCTCAACAACTTTATGGACCATTCCTGTGTGTTGTACCATTAAGTACAATGACTGCTTGGCAAAGAGAATTTCAACAGTGGGCACCTGACATTAATGTTGTTACTTACATTGGTGATGTCATAAGCAGAGATATTGTAAGATGTTTATTTTAATTTGTTTTTAAATTATACGATTTTTCCTTTATTTCTTAACTTAATATATTTAGAAATTTAAATTGTTTATAGTGCTAATCTTTGCACTTAAGATTGAACATTTAAATATGTCGCGATCAGGCCGCGAATGCCGAAGACGTGGGTTCGATTCCCACAACGGCGACAATCTTTTCGCACTTTTTCTACATATTTTAATATATTTATTTTTTCAGATTAGGCAATTTGAATGGAGCTTTTCAAGTTCAAAGAGACTTAAGTTTAATGCAATATTGACAACCTATGAGATCTTACTTAAAGACCGCCAGTTTCTAAGGTCTTTTAGCTGGGCTTGCTTATTAGTAGATGAAGCCCATAGATTAAAAAATGATGATTCTTTATTGTATAAAGCCTTGAAAGAGTTTGAAACAAATCATAGGTTATTAGTTACGGGGACTCCACTGCAAAACTCTTTGAAGGAATTATGGGCATTACTCCACTTTATTATGCCCTACAAGTAAGTTACATGATATAACATTATGGGTATCAATTTTTTTTGGTTTAATTATTAAACAATTTTAAAACAAGTGAAATTTCATGAAGCGACATTTTTTTAAAGCTGTCCAGGCCAGTATTAATGTTGAAACACCATATGTAGTAACTTTTGTGGAAATTTACTTTTTATGGATTTATTAATTTTTTTTAATGTTTGGAAAAAATTGTGAATGGTCAAAAAAATAAAAACAAAATGTTGTTTACAGATTTGAATCATGGGAAGAGTTTGAGAAAGATCATGAGGATGCTGCTACAAAAGGATATGAAAAACTGCACAAACAGTTAGAGCCCTTTATACTAAGACGGCAGAAAAAAGATGTTGAAAAGTCCTTGCCAGCAAAAGTAGAACAAATATTAAGGGTGGAAATGACTTCAATTCAAAAACAATATTACAAATGGATCCTTACTAAGAATTACAGTGCTTTGCGTAAAGGTGTTAAAGGTTCTATTAACACCTTCATAAATATTGTTATAGAATTGAAAAAATGTTGTAATCATGCCCTTTTGACCAAGCCAGAAGATTTTGAATCAAGAGCATCTCTTGCAACCACTGATGCTGTGGAGGTATGATGATATTTTTATTTGGATTAATATAAAATTTTCTTGATACATACTAAAATGAAACATGTATTTTTTATGTGTAGAAACTGTTACGTGGATCTGGAAAGCTGCTGCTGTTAGACAAACTTCTATGCAGACTAAAAGAAACTGGTCATAGAGTGCTCATTTTCTCTCAAATGGTCAGAATGTTAGATATTTTGGCTGAGTACTTACAAAGAAGGCATTTCCCGTTTCAACGTCTTGATGGAAGTATAAAAGGAGAAATCAGGAAACAGGCCCTTGACCATTTCAATGCAGAAGGTTCTCAAGATTTCTGCTTCTTACTGTCAACACGTGCTGGAGGCTTGGGTATAAATTTGGCTACAGCTGATACAGTCATTATTTTTGATTCTGATTGGAATCCTCAAAATGATCTTCAAGCTCAAGCACGTGCCCACCGTATTGGTCAAAAAAATCAGGTAATTGTTATACTTGACCTTGATTATTTATGAAGATTACAACAATAATTTTTTTGTTAGTAGCAATTCCAAAAAAATGTTTTGGTTTAATAACATCTTTAAAATTGAATATGCTTGAGTTTTTAGCTTACTGCTTGAATTTTTCTAAATATTTAATATTATCATCTCTCCATAGGTCAATATTTATAGATTAGTTACTGCCCGTTCTGTAGAAGAAGATATAGTTGAAAGAGCCAAAAGAAAAATGGTTTTGGATCATCTTGTGATACAAAGGATGGATACAACTGGTAGGACAGTACTTAATAAACGCGATGCATCTGGAACAACTGCAAATACCCCATTCAATAAAGAGGACTTGAATGCTATATTGAAATTTGGTGCAGAAGAGTTGTTTAAAGATGATGATGAAAATGATGAAGATCCTGTTGTAAGTATATGTTACTTTCTAATATTATAAAGTGTATAATTGCAGCATATTAAAATCAGAACCAGTAATAAACATTTTATACTGGTTAAATTATTTTGGTATAAAATTTTATTAATGGAGAAATTGTTCCTTTCTTAGTGTGATATTGATGAAATTTTACAAAGAGCTGAAACTCGTGATGAAGGACCAACTATGGCAGGGGATGAGTTGCTCTCAGCTTTTAAAGTAGCTAGTTTTGCATTTGACGAAGAAAAAGCTGTGATGGAGGTGAAAAAGGACAATACTGAAGAGGAAAGTAAAGATTGGGTATGTTGCTTTTACGTTTTTATATTTGCATTTTATTAAATAGTTTTACAAATAGTGAATCTGATTTAATTTTGATTATATAATTTTCTTATGGCAGGATGATATCATACCAGAAAATGTCAGAAAAAATATTGCAGAACAAGAAAAGACTAAAGAAATGGAAGACTTATATTTACCTCCAAGAAGAAAAAATATGCAAACAAATAATGCTGACAATGGTAAACAATTATAAATGAATACCAAAATTTCATTATGTAATTTTGCGATTAAGCCAATATTATTTTAAATGAAATTATTATAAATAATTGTGTTTAACTTTTAATGTTCATTTAAAATTCTGTTTTTTTTAGTTTTGCAGCGTGTTTTAGTGTATTTTGTAGGGCTTTTTTGCCATTTGCTATCTGCAAATTATGTTAATATTCAAAAACATATTTTTCAATTAACAATGTCAATTTAGTTCTGCTCAATATAAATTTTAGGCTATTTTTTAAAACAAACGATAAAATAAATGGATTAATCCTGTTCAGCATTAATAATTGTTGCACAAAATGAAATGTTATTTACAAAGAGTTTAATTATATTTCAGATGGTAGGAAGCGACGTAGTAGAGGGTCTGGGGAAGGGGGGGATGGTGAAGGTGATATTGACAGCGATGCCTCTGAAGCTGAAGCCAGTGCCGATGATGACCGACCGCGTAAGAGGGGCCGGCCCCCCGCTTCACACAGAGAAAAAATTAAGGGCTTTACAGATCAAGAGGTAACATATCACTGTTATATACTATTTAACTTAGTATGCACACAAAGAGTTCATTTTGTTTAAAATATGTAAAGTTTGTAAATTTAAAATATCCTTTTTTCTCTGTGCAGATACGAAGATTTGTTAAAAGCTACAAGAAGTTTTCTGCACCATTAAAGCACCTTGACAGCATAGCTTGTGATGCTGAACTTCAAGAGAAACCCTTAGCTGACCTGAAAAAGCTTGGTGAGATACTGCAAGAGAGGTGTAAAGCTGTACTCAATGATACTACAGAGACTAATAGTATGTTTGATCTGTACTGTTTTGATATAATCACTAAGTTTAATAATCTTGGTTTTAAAGTTTCGAGTACTAAAATTGTGCATTTGTAGATGAACAAAGTAATGGACGAAAAAATGCTAGAAAAACCTTTAAACTTGGAGGTGTTCCTGTTAATGCCAAGACTATGGCTGCTTGCCAGGATGAATTGGCTCCTCTAGATGGATTCTTGCCAGAAAAGAAAGAAGATAGGTTAAAATGGCAATTAGACTTCAGGTAATAAGAATTTAATTTTTCAACTTAAATTTTTGTATGCATTTTATGCAGTGTTAGCACCTCTTTTATATATTATTTTAATTTAAATTATATTTTAAATTAATTTTGATAGAACATGTATTTTTCACAGGACGAGGCCAGCAAATTTTGATGTTGAGTGGGGTGTTGGAGATGATTCAAAGCTCCTTGCTGGTATATACCAGTATGGTATGGGTTCATGGGAGGCTATCAAAATGGATTCATCTTTTGAAATAGGTGATAAAATCCTAACTAATGAGGACAAAAAACCTCAAGCTAAACATCTACAGTCTAGGGCAGAATATCTGCTTAAATTAATAAAGAAATTACTTGATCAAAAAAATGGAAAACAAAAGCAAAGAAAACCCAGAATGAAGAAAGGTAATAAGGAACCACCTGTAACTAAGGATATTGTTGATGAAGATGGTAGTTCTGGAGAGGAGAATAAGAAAAACAATAAAATGAAAAATGATAAATCTGAAAAGGTATGGCTATTAATGTACTACTATACACACACACTTATAAATTTTCATTCAAACACAAAACAATGTTTTCTTTAAAACACATTCTAGATATGAACATGTTTGTACATGATATGGTATTTGAGTAGGAAAAGAATGCAATTTGAAAAACTATCCATCTTTATGTTTTATATGAATTATACTATTTCATACATACAACAAATTTAAGAAAATCTTCTGTGACTTGATAACTAATTCCAATAATAGCACCTTTTCTAAGAATTTTTTTATTTTATTTGTACAATTTTATTGTATTCACCACTAAACACTATCACTTCCCATGTGCAGGTTAAATCAAAATTAGAAGAAATTTCAACACATGATGAAACTTCAAATGATAAGAAAGAAAAAGATAAGAAACGCACAAAGAAAGAAGGGAAAGATCAAACAAAAGGTGACAAAGTCAAAGGTCGGAAGAAGCCAGCAGGACCTATGCATTTCACTGCAAATAATGAGCCAAGGGCTTTAGATGTATTAGGTGATCTTCATCCATCAGTATTTGAAGAGGTAGTGTTTTAATTAAGGTTCTATTAATATTTAAAATATAAATTACAAACAACTTGACATATATGAAAAACCCGAATTATTTTGTTTCAGTGTAAAGAGAAAATGAGGCCTGTAAAAAAGGCTTTACGCGCTCTTGATAATCCAGATCAAACTTTGTCTGAATCAGAACAAGTCTCAAGAACAAGATCTTGCCTTTCACAAATAGGGAACCAAATTGATATTTGTTTAGAAGCGTATCCAGATCCTGAAAAAAAAGTAGAATGGAGAAGCAATCTCTGGTATTTTGTCTCAAAATTCACAAATTTTGATGCAAAACAATTATATAGGTTATACAAATATGGTCTCAAGAAAACTGTAGATGGGTCTAAAAAAGATGGAAAACATAAAGAAAACTTAAAGGTACAATCATTTCAAAGGTTATTGTTATTATTTTAAAATATAAATAATGCAAATATAATTTCAAATGTTATTTATGGGTTTTAGAGTGCTAAAAATAATCTTAATTCAAATAACCACATAAGCAAATCATTTAAAAAGGAAGCTAAGCAGCAGGAGGACACAAATAACAGAAAAGAAAAAAGGCCTAAAATGGATAAGGCAGAAAAATCAAATGACAAAAGTCCACATTCATCTGGTATAAAGAGAAAGCTGGAAGAGGGTGAATGTGATCCAGAACCAACTGAAAACAAACGGCATGAAAGGTAAAGTTAGCGATTGCATTAGTCTCCTATATATTACGTTGTTCACATATTTTCACTTATAGTCTACATCCATATGTTATCATTTGCTTGTATCATCATAACCATTTTCATCTCTTGACAACATGCACTAACATTTCCGCATACGCTCACCATTTGCATCTTCCATACCAGACATAAAACAAAGGATCGCAAGCGTAGAGATAGCAGCGTGAAGCGGGACGATTTGATGTGCAGAGATCGGGGACGGTCGGAGCGCGAGAGAGACCGGGACCGTGAGCGGGACCGGGAGCGTGACAGGGAGCGGGATCGGGACAGGGATCGGGAGAGGGACCGGGAACGTGACCGCGACAGGGAACGTTCGCGTACTCGCCGCGACAGTGGAGGGATGGGCCCCGCACGAGTGCGTCCACCCTACTCGTTATCGCATCCGCACCCAGATCATCAGTTACATCCCGCATGGACGCCTCCCGCTTATCCCGGACCGCGCCAGTATCGCGGCGATCGAAACTCGAGACCACACGACAAAAGGAGGTAATTATAGAGATCTGCCATTTTTTTTTATTAACTGGTTACGAAGAGCGCCAATTAATGAGATTTCGACTGACAAAACCGTCGAGCTTAAGTGACAAAAAAAGGTGGATATGATGCATGAAAAGAAATCAGAATAAATAAAAATGCTTTTGATACAAGGATTTCCTTGTTGGGACTGTTTATAAAATGTCATGGTGCTTATTTGTTTTAAACATTTTTAATATAATCATTGAATCTTTTGGATAATATAGTGCGTTAACCCAGTGATTTTCTCTTTATACTCTTTGTATTCTTTTATTAATATTTTCTTTATAATTATTTTAAAAGCAGGTTTAGTGGTGGTTATACTGGGATGAGTGGCCCATACAGTGGATACTACGAGGGTAGTGCCATGCCCAGTGGAATGGGATTCCCTCCAGTGCGGCCCTATCCAGACGATTGGCGAAGTTTCCCGCAACCTGAATATGCGTACGACGAGCGAGACTACGAACGAGAGGTTTATAGGAGGGACTATGACCGACGTGCTCCTCCCACTTAGTTAAATTGAAATCCACAGAGCCCATAGACGCTCTTGTAAATATTACCTATAAATTATATTGTAAATAGATAGTAGAGATCTCTTTCCGTGGACACTGGTTAAACCGTAATTAATTTAAAGTGTAAGTGACAAAATAGTGCTGTGGTTTTTATCTATGTGATAAGCGAAGCGCATTGAAAGTAACGGTGGACATTGATTACTTCATACATACGACTGTGTTTTGTAAGTGAGACTGTATAATAAATTTATTTATTTACCGAGTCTGTCGATTAAATGTTAATGTACAGAATTTAGACGATTACCATTAATTTTTATATTTGTTCCGATTTCGTTGCCAATTGTACCAGTTTAAAATAGGAATTATTGATTTGGTGTAATTTGATCGCATATTTATTTGTCGCCACAACTTTAATGTTAGCTATTTTATTTGACAGGAATGCAGGTGATATACATAGGTCATAACTATTGTACAAAAATTAGTAATTGTTAGTAGACTTGCATATATCTTAAATCATGTGCAATTGTGAACTTTGTGTATAGCTTAAAGGAAATGGGCACATTGTCATTGCATTTTAGCAGTGAACAGGAAAGAGTGTTTGATTTGTACTATTAATTTCGCGATATGTGCATTTCAGAGTCCTAATAGGACTCACACAGTCCTATTTTTATACATTATGTAAAATCCTATTCTCTATTACATGCAAATGAATGTAATAAGAGTTGAAGCGTCTTATGGTGTTAACCATGATAATAAACATATTATTAAAGTTGATTCAAGTGTATTTATTGTGTAAATCCTCCAAAATGAAATGTGAAATGTAAATTAAAATGTGTTTTACAAAATCATTTCTCGTCTTTTGATACCCTTCAATTAAATATAAAGTAACATATTAAATGTTCTCTAACTTAAATTGATGATTTTTTTACTATTCGCGTTATAAAGCAATAAAGCTTGTTATTAGTGTAGGTATGTCAAATACAATATTGTGAATCAGCTTGTATAGGTAACCTAGTGTATACCGGTATCGATCTGCTAATTAAGTTGTTACATGTAGACTAATAGCGCCAGTAATTTTTTACCTTATGGTGACTTCTTATCAATTTTAACTTTATTACTGAAAAAGATAGGTGCGATCAATAATTTTACGGCATTTCAATTAAAGCTAAACCAGGCAGATGGTGTTATGATATGATAAGTAAGTTTAAGTATCTGTCTTTTTATAATCTGGTCTGCAAATACATTAAAGAAAAATTTGCAAAAACTATATACCTATGATGTAAATAAGACGCAATATTAGTAGGGGTACATTTAGTAAACTGCAAGTCAATGGCACGCAGGTTTTTGCTTCTATGTAAGTACAAGATGTTATCACATTAAAGTTGATGCCCTATGCGCATGTTCGCTCTAACGTCATTCAGACAAAAGGTACACAGCTTTGCTTCTATTCGGCCATATAGAGGACAGTTCACTGTTTGTGAGTGGGAAAAATGACAAATTCCGTTTACATCACTAATAAAACGTTAGTGTAATGTAGTATTACATTGAACGTTATGTTTGCCTCTTATCAAGTTTGGTGAGTCAACACAATCTAATTTAATTAAATTGAAATGCGTCAGAGTTAGGTGTATTGATTTAAACTATTAGGACTCGTAGCTACGTAAACCATTATCTTCGTGTATTTATTTAGATAATAATATGTAATATTTAACCATTTTGATTGTAGCTTAAACTATTAAACGTTATTTTTATTTCACATAAAGGTATTTAAACATTTGTAAAGAACCGTTTACTGTCTTCAGTGCAAACATCTCATGGTGTGATAAAATTTTACCCCTCTAAATTTAACTGCGTCAACTAAGTCGAGTTGGATATTTCTTAGCAGTCTCATCTGGATACTTAGAAATATTAAACATCTAGTTATTATATTATTATAAATAATGTGTGCGAATCAGACTAACATCGAATAAGACTATCTAAATGTGATCACCATATCTATGCGTTGTAATTAATTGTTTTGTTAGATATACAACGGGCCCCTACCCATAGATTGAGCAGTACATGGAACATGTGCCGCTCATATTAGCTGGAACATGGTAACCGTACGAGTAATATTACTGCCCGTGTTTTTAGCAACTACTTTAGGTTGCTATCTTTTTCCCAACGGTAAGATATGCGTATTGCACTATTTAATTTATTAATTAGTAAGCCGTCTGCTATAGAGAACAGTTTAAAAACGTGTTAATAACGTATTGCATACTGATATTTATAAAAGAATTTTAGTTTGTGAATCTTCTTACGCACCTGTTAAATAAAATGAAAAATACAACACCTAACTATCACTAAAGCACATGAAAATTGTAGACATTTATTGCTAATTAACTTATACTATATTAAACGCCTATCACAGACGTGATTCTTCCGTTGTTGCAGCGTATTGAAATTTCGTGCATGTTGTGGCAGACGTGCCGGATCCATGTCGTGGGGTTTCGTGCGGCCCCGGCGAGCTGTGCCGACCCACGTCTGATGGCCGCTCTTACCACTGCGAGTGTCCAACTTCGTGCCCAAGTTACGGTGACCACGAGGGTTCGCGGCCCCTCTGCGCGAGCGATGCCCGAGACTACCCGGGTGAATGTGAGATGCGACGGGCCGCATGCGAGACCAACACCAATATCACGTTTATGTACTACGGTAAATGCGGTGAGTGATACGCTATTTTTATAAGGAGCTGTTTAGTGCCTGATTGCTTCTTCACTTGATGGGAAGTGGCGATGCTGTTGCAAGTGGTAGATGGTGCTCAGTAATAGCATATTAACACCCGCCTTGGTGACGCAAACGGAAAACAGATGGTCATTGAAAAGAATGTGGCCTAGCCTCATGAGATTTTTATATTTGGTGTTTTGACACCATTACACTGAACTTATTGTCATAATATTTATGCGGTTTTAAAGTCATATTTCGACGCATATTTATGCAGTTATAAAATCATATTCCTTTTTAATTCTAGACCCCTGCGCGGGAGTGACTTGCCCTGATCCCGAGGTGTGTCAGCTGGACGAGCACCGCTCGCCGTCCTGCCGCTGCGCAGAGCCTTGCCCCCTGGAGTTCTCGCCGGTGTGCGCATCAGACGGGAAGACCTACTCCAACGAGTGCCAAATGCATCGCGAGTCCTGTCGAGCGAGGAAGCAGCTGAGGATAATCTTTAAGGGGCAGTGCAGTTCGGGTGCGTCATAATCTCCTGAGGCATAAATACTATGAAAGTATTTTTTTTTGCCGTACGAGTGTAATAAAAGTGTTTCACTCGGGCAATGCTACAAAGTGACTTTGCTATTGCATGTATGTGCGGGATAGATCGAAGTACTACGGCCACACAGAAGACTGGCGAGAAGTAATGTGTTAACAGGGCTGCGCGACCCCCTTTAAGAGAATTGGCGGTCGCGACACGCACATTGAAAGTCACTGATTTAGACTATACCCTTGTAAATGATTCTAGTATAAGCGCGCATATATTATGTTACTTCAATGAGAGCTGCTACTGACAAACTGATCGTGTTTTATTAATATTCACTTCTTAAAAAAATACTAAACATATTTAGCACTGTAACAATTTCCGCCCGGTCCATTATTGCAATGAGCGGCAATTAAAATGCTCTCTAGGGTTCCGCTTCAATCAACTGTCTTCAGTTAATCGACACAAAATCCTTTCACAATGAGTTAGAATTACTAACAGAGCAGCGGCCGCTTTGTCAATCTGCGGTCTCCTATCAAGAACGGCGTTTGCTTGTTCCCTTCAGGCGCGAACCCCTGTTCGGAGGTGGAGTGCCGGCACGGGGCGGAGTGCCGCGTGGAGGAAGGGGGCGCGGTGTGCGCGTGCCCGCCCGCCTGCGAGCCCGTGCTGCGGCCCGTGTGCGGCTCGGACGCGCGCACGCACCACAGCGAGTGCGAGCTGCGCCGCGCCGCCTGTCTGCTGGGCCGCGAGATCAAGCTGGTGCACGCGGGCGCTTGCGGTATGCCTTTTTCCTTTTTTTGTGGGCAAAATCCGAAGTACCGTCCTAGGCAGCTCCCAATGACAGTTAACCTCCTTTCATTTCTTTTTAACGCGTGGAGAAAACCCACGTTGCATCTGCATTAACTCATCGGCCGGGAACACGGGAACACGCAGACGCAACCTTCCGCGACCCCGGCGCGACTATGACCTCTTCGGGCCCCCTCTTCTAAATGGTGCTGGTCGGTGAAACCTGCGGTATGCCTTCGCTGCACCGGCACGGCACCATTTTGACGGAGTGGCTATCGTAACACCTGAGAAGTGGACGCCCAAGATGGCCATAGTCGTGCCGGGGTCGCGGAAGATTACATATTCGTGTTCCCGTGGCCTCGGCTGATGTGATAGTTCAGGTGCAACGTGGGTTTTTACCACGTTAAAAAACTAGTCATTGCAAGAGATGGGCGAGATGTGACTACGTCTCTGCATCTACGGATTGACTGTTATGTTAGTCTAAGAGTTAACAGCCTTTTCGAGAGAGAATTTATGGTAGGCTAGTTTTTAGATATGCTGTCTCTCATGTAAACAATCTGCCGGCACCAATGAAGTTTTTAACTTTAAGTGCTGACTTATCACGTGCTCCGCGGTGAAGGAAAACATCGTGAGGAAACGTGCATATTTTCGAAATAATAAGAAAAAAAAATATTTTTCGAAGATATGTGAATTCCGCCAATCCGCAGGGGGGCGCGTGGTGGACTATGCCCTCTGTACAGAGGCCTTTGCCTAGCATTGGGACATGTATAAGCTATTACTTTACTTTACTTTTAACTGTAACTTAAAGTTTATACAGTCGAACCTCTTTCCGAACCGTTTCTTCAATAAATCAGCAGTATTACGATATAACCTTGCAAAATATTTGACAAACTGTTATCGAATTCGTTAGACGGAAAAGTGCCACCTTCTGTCGACTCCATGTAATCAGAAAGTAATACCTTAAAATCTGTTAAATGAAGACTTTTCCATATTTTTGAATTTAGGAAGGGAATAAAGAAACAATGCTTCGAGCAATACGTCACCATATCGCTGATAAGTTGCAAACTGTACAAAAATACATAAATGAAGTTTTGTCGTGCTTATTTGTAACATAATTTGGATTAAAAGCGGCCAGTTATGATAACATTTGGGCCAATTTATTTTTCCGATCCATTTCTATGGACAACCTTAACAATCGCCGAAGACGAGTCGAGCTCTGGTGCGATTTGAACACTCATGTGACTCGAACATTGTTGTGATTTGGGCATTTCTGTGACTCGATCACTACTATGACCCGAGCACTTCAATGACCCGAGCACTTCTGTTTACTGGAGCACTTTAGTGACTTGTGCACTTGTGACTATAGCACCTTTGTGACTCGAGCACCAACAGAAGTGTGACTCAAGCACGCCTGTGACTCGAGCACCCACAGAGGTGTGACTCGCGCCGTCGCGCGCATTACCGTGCAGGCTCTAGCGGCGTGTGCGCCGGGCGCGTGTGCCCGCACGGCGGCGAGTGCGTGGCGTCGGGCGCGCGCGGCGTGTGCCGCTGCCCGCGGTGCTCCAGCGAGTTCGCGCCCGTCTGCGGCTCCGACGGCATCTCGTACGGCAACCGCTGCTCGCTGCAGCTGGAGGCGTGCAGGCACCGGCGCGACGTCAAAGTGCTCTACGACGGCCCTTGCAGTGAGTGCACCGCACGACTGACTAATGACGATTTGTCAAATCATTCAGTATCCAATGTACCTAACAAAGAATGTATAGCGGAGCGAAACTCAAAGCAATTTAGGTTGTGGCCCGATTAATATGTATCGTCGCATTAGTGACTCCAATTAAATAACGACGATCCAACTGGCGTAATGGATAGTGAATCTGTCGCTTCGCTTCACCTAGAAATATCTACCATTTTTAATACATGAATAAGAAACATTTTTTATTGTTTATAATACATTAAAAATATTGTAAACCCCGCCTGTCATTTGGGTTTACAATATTTTTGGTTTTACGATCATGAGCCTTTACAAATAAACTCGTCGGTTTACCAACGCTGGAACACGCGACATGCAATTTACTTTTGTTATGCATAGTGAGATTCAAGTAAATTTGATCTATGATTCAAAATTGGATTAATTTAGCTACATGTCACTAACGTCATCTATGAGTTGCCACAAAATATACAAAATAAACTGTATTTATTTACAAAGTAAAAGTGTGTTTAATTATTTTAATCAGTTATCTAGTATAAACGTCTCAAATGTTTCCTGAAATATTGAAACAAAATCGCTTCCCAAAGGCACGAAATAAATTTTAATTTCATAAATCTTTTTTCATAACGAATTGATTTTGTTGCAGACGGCTGCGAAAATAAGAAATGTGATCATTACGCCGTTTGTGAAAGTGACGGTGTCTCTGAAGCGAGTTGCGTTTGTCCAAAACACTGCGAAGAAGGGACTGTGAGTTACTAGAAATGTACTTTTTTATGTAAGAAGACGGCAGGCGAACTGGTGGTTCACCTGATCTTAAGCGGTAACCCCTACCCATGGAGATTTGCAACACCCGTAGTGTTGCAAATACGTTGCCAACTTTCCTACCAATTATTATATATTCCAGGCCGCTTGGTGGACTACCTGATAACCTCTGTATAGTCAAAGTCAAAGTCAAATATCTTTATTCAATATAGAAGCATTCACTTACTTATTGATAGTCAAAAAACTCTACCACCGGCTCGGAAGGAAAGCCACTGACCTGAGAAGAACCGGCGTAAGAAACTCAGCGGGACATTTTTTTTTACTTGCCAAAAAAATTACAAATATGTGTACAATTATTAAATTCCACTTGAAAGAGCATGGAGCGATCAATTCATTTCCAGAGTGTGTTATCATTCAGATAATCACTAATACTATAATAGCCATTAACACACAAACGTTCCTTTACAAGTTTTTTGAATTTAGTAACGGATTCATTTTGAACGTTTTCTGGAATTTTGTTGTAAAAGCGTATACATTGTCCCATAAAAGATTTACTTATTCTATGCAATCTAGTTGAGGGTAGAACTAATTTATGCTTGTTTCTTGTATTAACATCATGCACATTACTAAATCTTGAAAAGTCATTCTTATTTTTGTGGACATACATGTAGAGCAGTTCTTTGCTTAACGGTGCGACATGTATAGGCTGTTACATTACTTTTTTTATTGTTGTATCGCGTTATATTAGTAAAGCACCTGCTTACATATTATGTCCTCAGCAGTGAGAAAAGGCCTTCTCTGTACAGAGGGTATTTGGGCAGAGTCTACAATGCGACCCCACTGCGAATGGCAGACTTCACATATCCTAGAATTTTTTTTCCAGTTACAGAGTAAACAATTCATGTGTGTTTTCTTAATAGTCTTCAAGAATTTTCGAATAGTTTGCTGATATGATAACTGTGCGAGCTAATGTGCATAATTATATGCACAGTAGTTCGACCAGATAAATATTTTCTGAATAGTTGTTTGCAGTTATGCCTAGATCATTCAAGGGTATTTCGTATTCGAAGGAAACTGAAGAAGTCTGCGGCAGTGACAATCAAACGTACAGCAGCGTTTGCGCGCTGCGTGATGTAGCATGTCGGGAGAGGAGGCATCTTCACGTCAAACACATGGGTTCCTGTGGTGAGTGGCGAGTTTCAATCAATTGTTCATTCATTTTTCAAATCTACCTGGAAGTACAGCTCCTTAAGTGCTCCTATTGGTACTATTAGTAGCACTTAAGGAGCTGTATGTGCGTCGGTCTTTGGGTGGAGAAAAAGTTATAGGTGAAAAGCAAAAGTACTTATACTGATATTTTGAGTGGTGGTATTGTCCCAGTCGAGTTGGCCTATACAAATAATGGTTGAATGAACTGTTTTGGAAAGTAAATAACATTCGAAAACACACGGATAGTGCGGTTTGTGACACAAACAAGCGATATCTTCTCTATATCCTACATCTTCATAACTTGTATATTTATGATGTATGAAAATTGTTTGTATTCTTTTATTTTGATAAATCAAAATAAATAATTACATTTTTCACTCTATATATAATTACATTTATTTAACAATTACATTTTTCACTCTGTATCTGTTTTTTAAATAACTTATTTTATTTGATTTTCCTAACTAATGTAATTCCATGCAAACTTGTCAGTTAATTCTACCTGAAATAACCATATAATGTCCAATACCTAAACTACTTTAAACGATATAACTGTGCGTGAGAGACGATGGTGCATTACCATACTAGGATACTACGCTATTTACGGAAAGAACGATATTATTTTCTTGCGCAGTCTTTTAGAATGAACCTCATTTGTTCCGTAAGCACGTTAGCATGCTCAAGGCTACAGGAGGCTTGATTATGTCGCCTTTACGCCAGAGTCGTGTGCGGAGGTGCAATGCCCGAGCGGCACATTCTGCGCGCGCGGCGCGTGTGCGTGCGGCCGCTCGTGCGCGGGCACTCAGCGTGCGCCCGTGTGCGCCGACTCGGGCCACAGTTACGCGCACGCGTGCGCGCTGCACAACGCGGCGTGCGAGGCGCGCGCCCGCGGGGACGCCCCGCCGCGCCTGGCGCACTACGGCGAGTGCGTGCCGCCGGTCGACAACAGCACTGCAGGTATCGGGACCCTTTCGACAACAGTAGACTCATCATCAACACATATCGTACATAAGCACTAGCTTATGTACGATACTGTATTTCGTTCTCGCCTACGAGCTCGGTGAAACTAACGCATTGCGTACAATTGTCTCGGAGCGATTATGACCGCTTCCAGGTGTAGTCAACGGCTATCAACAGTGTCTGTATTTGGCTATCCTCTAATTTTGTTACTACATGCATTATTCTCCTTAAGTAGAGTCTATTAAGCAGGCGGAAACGTAGAATTTTCAAGAGCTCTGTGCCCGATGAAGCTTTATATAGTCTGCGCACTGAAAACGCATCTGTCTGATAGACCGGTACAACATTCCGAGCACAGAGCCGTTCGATGAACTCCAAGTAGACGTTTGCTTGTGCTGTAAGAAATACACACAACACGATTGAGGTAATATGATATTTGTAACGCTTAGAATTCTCCTATCACGTCCAAAAGGGGACCGGAGGCTACTGGTTATGTTATATAGAAAGCATTGTGTATATTGTGCGGTTGTAAGGCCATTTTATTTTGCGTTTCATAAGCTCAAATATGGCCCGTAAAATATCTCATACGTTATTTAGATGCGTGTAACGCGTTCGAAACGAGCGCACTGCGACAGGCGCGTCATTTCAGGCGGGAACAAAACTAGGGGCGGCGAGGAGCGGGCAGAGGGGGCGGAGGGGACGGAGGGGACGGAGAGGGCGGGCACGGCGGTGTGCGCGCGAGTGCAGTGCTCGTTCGACGCCACGTGTGCCGTGGACGGCAACGGGCAGCCGCGCTGCGCGTGCCTGTTCGACTGCGCGGCCGCCGCAGCCGCCGCGGCCGCTTCCCCGCCCGTCTGCGCCTCCGACCTGCGCCTCTACCCCACGCTGTGCCACATGAAGCTGGAGGCGTGCCGGCGCCAAGAGGACCTGAGGCTCCGCCCGTTGGCCCTGTGTCGCGGCCTGGAGGTCTGTGTTGATTCCGACAGCGGGCGTGATCTGGTGGGGTCAGATCAATACTCTACCTCTTGAGCAGGTTTATTCCAGTGGAAGTAACGCCTCCACTTGCTTTAACGCTGCACAGTGCAAGTGTACAAATTTCTCTACCTTCGAACTTTGAACACGGGGAGGATCCAGTGTCGAGGTCGAAGCTCATAGCCTCAATCCTGATCGCTCGTGTGCTCGAAATGTAAAGGAACCTCTACGTATTATTTGTTGCTTCGATGATGAACTTTTCACACAGTTCAACAACAGGTCTTTTGGTTTAATATTTTAAAATAAAGATTTTAACATGCGATACGAAAACTGACTGATGAAGAGTGAATACATTAATAATTACGATTTCTTTCAAAGAAATTGCTAGTGTTGTTTTTGTAACAAATCCGTTTTTCGTTTCATATATATCACCGATGATAGCACGAGAAGGTACTGTTTTTGTAAGCCATCCGTCCTTCATTTAGTTCCGTCCGTGCGGCGACGATGAGCCCCTGACGGATGCGGAGGGTCGAATGCTGGACTGCGGCGGTGGACCGCACCGTAAGGACTGCCCCGCCGGCAGCTACTGCCACCACACCTCTAAAGCCGCGCGCTGCTGTAAGAAAGGTACGAGACGTCTGCTTCATTGTTTTATGTTCGTTTCGCGATGTTTAGTCAGATTTCAAAATTGTTACTCAGAATAAATGGTGACCAAATGTCTAATCGGTGGCTTTCCAAATTTTGTTTTCCGAATTTTAACTTATGTACAATTTATTGTAACTTTTATGGCTGGTGAACTTGTATTGGATAAAATTCACCGGCCTTTCAATTATTTCGTATAGAGATTTCCTTTAAATATTCGTCGCTTCATTAAATCCTCACCAACTCGTATCATTCAGAAAATAATTTCTATTACCCTGATATGAATTGGTTAGGGACTTTGTTTACCGTTGGGCTATTTCTTTTCTTTAAAATGTTAATTATACTTATATACTACTCGGACTATCATATGTTTGCTTTAATTTTATTTCTCCTCATTTATTGATCCTTTATATCAATGTCTCTTGTTTTTGTCGCTTGTTTTGTTTTACTAGGGAGTCAGTATTTAATAACGGTTTTTTTATTTATCGTAGTTTAGATTTTATAATTTTTTTTTATTTTCTTTCCTCTTTGTTACTCCAGACCATCTGTCGCCGGTGCGGATTTAAATCCATCCTACGTTTGACTTTCCACATAAATTCGCTCGTATTGTGATTAAATAAGTTTTCCAAGAGTGTTCTATGGAATTTAAATAGATTTTTGCAATACCTTGCGCTGCCGTTGAGTCCCCACTATCAGTTTTTATCCTTTTTTCTTCAGCCTATATCTCATAATTTTGTTCCTAGTTGTACACCCTATTATACTTTTCGTATTTATTGCTTTTCGTAACTTGTCTATTTTAGGCCTATCTTCTTACGCATCTATCGCCTTCCTAATAATTTCTATTATCTCGTAACCTGTATCGATCTCATTCGTTGAACTGATCCCCACAGAATGTATAATCACTTAATTTGGGGGATGTTTTGAGTTCCTCTTGACAGCGAAGTTTGCTTAGGCAACCTGGCTTTCTCTCAATCTTAATTATTTTCCCCTGTTCTCCCATGTCCTTTTTGTTCTTCTATCATCTTTACATGCTCCTCTATCTTTCTTATAAGCATACTTTCTTTATGCTTTTGTTTCCGCCTCGGCATTAATTTAATAAGTATAGATACTTATTTATACAAGTTATCAATGCCTAGGTTACCTCATTTTATAATCGGTTTTAAAGTTCCTCGAGTTTACCTTATTGAGGCATGACGTCGCCTCAGCAACTCGGTCGACATAGGTTGTCTTGCTTTCGTTCTTGCGTTTGGTTTTCGAGTTTCAAACACTATTTAGGAGAAAACGAAATATAATTCTTTCAGCCTAATTTTTATCTTTTTTACCTATATGTAAAGGAAATATGGCTGTCGCGTTAAGAGAAATTTTTTGAAAGTTCTGTCTGGTTTTGGGCTCTTAATAGAGCTCTTAATATTCCGTAGCATGTAAGGTAGCCTGTATTTAATCCGAGTTCTGATTTTTTTAAGACGGTGGCTGTCGTAAGACCACATTATTTTCTTTGCCTATCGGGTCTCTGCTCCTCCATATTTCACCGTTGCATACTGGGCCAGAGTTTAAGGTGGTTTTAAAATCTACTGAAGCTAAACACCGCGAAGGGCGTTCATCCACGCCTAATACGGAAGACGACGTGAAAAAAAGACGGATGGTACGTATGCCAGTGTTCGAATAATTGTTGCCAACAAATTTGTAATATGAACAAAGTCTCTGCGCATCGCATCCTGAGAATGTTAACCGACGAGAAAATGAAGAAACGAGTCGACATTTCACCTCCATTTTGATCCAGAAACCATATGGCAATCAAATGACCTGGAAGCGACTCTCTTCACCGACACTGAAGAAATTCAGACTGTCGAGTTTGCTGGGAAAAGTTATGGACGCTGAAGGAATTATCATGGTGGTATATTTGAAAAAGGGAGCCACTATATCAGGCTCTTAGTACTCAGATAAGAAAATTACGGGAAGCTATTAAAAAAACAGCAAACTGCAAGCTGCTGGAGTGCTGTTTCATCAAGACAGCGCAGCAGTTCACAAGGCTGCAGTTTGCAAATGAATACTAATTTCACATAAATCAATAAGTTATTTCATCTTAGAATGTTTTTGTAGGGCTAATCACTGTTGGGCGAAAACCGGAAGATATGTGTCCGATTTAGCAAATATCACAACAGTGTATGGTTGGTTGTGCATGCTATCACAATTTGTTTGTATAGAGTTGTCGGATTCGGAATACTTTCGATACCTTTCCCCACCGGATCGAAAGGTCGCATTAGGGGTAATCTTCTGCGTCCACCAGGGGATCGGGATAAATTTTAGCTCTCTGGAATTCTTCTGTGCGGCCTTGGTACTTTCCTGTACGAGCTCATTCGTGCAACCGCCGTAGAATCTGTTGCGTGCCACAGTTAATAGTTGTCTATTTTTAATTTGTACTTTGTGTTTATTGAGTGTGAATATCTACTGGTAGCCTGACTGTACCTTCTTTTTTTTAAAAAAGGTCTCTTCTCAACCGAAACTACCTTCCGAACCGGTGATTGCTTACTTATGAACTTATATATCAATTATTATGTAAAATTCGACGTTTCAGGACGCGCAAGCATTATTACGTAAGGACAACCAACCTTTAAGCATATAACTTATACTTCACGCTGATATGATGGAAGCTTTTCTATGAGCCTAATGTGTGTCAAACCTTTCAACCTCAAATGCCTTCAAAATAGCATGAGAAACTGGTACTAAAAGGACTACATTGTTTTCGAATGTTTCCAGCCACCGGCTATTATACTAAAATATACACAGTTGTTCCTATTCTGTGTGGTCATTGCTTCTTTCTTTACTATAGACTTTTACCAAAAACCGATGTGATAAGTAATTGCAGCCCCATCACCTCTGACATTTTAAGACTTATTACTGATATAAATTTGTAACCTTATCAAAGTGTAAATACGATAGAAATTACTCGAAAATAGATCGTAAATATGATAGAAATTAATATATTTCTTTTACTAGTGTCTTATCATTTTTTGCTTGCATTTATACGAAGCATTTAAAATCTGCCACAAGGAGCTATTGAAAGCTTAACGCATAATCAAGCTTTTGCCTCGAGGTAAAATGCTCGCATTAAAAATGCAACATGATGTATTTTCATTGTAAAAATGTGGGATGAAAGTGCAACACTAAATATATTACACAACAATAAATTACGTGTCAGCACTCCCAGCCTTGCATTTTGCTGGACAATTCCCGCACTCAACTTGACACATTTAAGAGTATAACTCATTTCCTTAACATTTAAATTCACACCTACAAAATTCCAACTCGGCAATTTAAACACGAATGAAAAGAGTTGCTTTTTTGAAAATATGATTTATGAATACTGTAATTTTAGCGGGAACAATCCTTAACAGTCTACTACTTCTGTTATTACTTTTATAAAAGGTGTTGCCGTCAAAAATAAGTTTAAAAAGACAAGAAAAAGGGAAAATTAAAATGGAAAAAAACTTTGGCATTTAGAGTATAATGTTAGTGAAAATATTTTTGTGGTTATATTTCTTTTGGCGCGTTTGAAAAAAAAAATTGAGCATTAAAATTGAGAGTAAAATTTTTACGATGCGCGCGCACAGCCAAAAAGCAACATGATGAAGTTGGTTGCAAAGCGACTAACTTCGACCAACTTCACGGTATTACCATGGCAACCAATAACAACTTGTTATTGTTATTTAATTAAACCGTTGTCTATTAAATTTAATGTCTTTTTCACAAACAAAGAGTAGTTAATTATTTTTTTCTTTTGTTACGCTAAAGAAGTATTACTTCTTGCGTGTGTACGTAAGTATACATTTAATTTTTTTATGTGAGAAAATGGCACGCGAGCTAGCGGTCACGGAACTCCTGAGGTTAAGTAATAATTGCCGCCCATGGACATCTGCAACACTTGTAAATTTGCAGATATATGTTGTCACATTTTAATGAAGTGGGCTCCGGTTACCTCACTCACCGGACGATACAGAGAAGTGTAACACTTCAAATTCAAGCCGGTCTTCTGTGAGGTCAAGACCTCATCTAGTGTGAAGGCTCATCTAGGGCAGTACCAAGGTACTTCCCTGAATGAGCCTGTCCATTCTGCAACAGCAAAGCCTGGTGCGTGGTCATGCCAATGAAAATATTGAAGTCATTTCATAAATTACTTAATTCTCGGCAACGTAATGACTCGATGACGCAGTTGCTATTCTATTGGCTTCTGCGCCGGAGCTTGTGGGTTCGATTCCCACACAGGATAGTATTTGTGTGACCCACAGATTATTTTTCCAGATCTAGGTGTTTATTACCAAGGAGGGTTGATGTCTGGCAGGCGACTTGTCTTAAAAATCTAGCCAAAACTATTTACAACATATGTGGGATAAAGGCAAGAGAAGGTTGGTGATGAAATGACGGAATTTTCAGACGCAAATATAGAAATATATGTGTGTACTTATGTGCACACGTAGGAAGTTATTTAGCGTAAAAGAAGGAAAAAAACTAATAATGTTATCCCCTGTACATTAAACGCAATTGATAATGGTTTGAATAACTGGGAATTATAGATACATGTCAAAGAGTTTTATTGGTTGCCATGGTAATATCGTGTCATTCATCATGTCGCTTTTTAGCCGTCGGTGCGCGCGCGCATCTTAAAAATTTCCAAACGCGTCAAAAGATGTATGTTTCAAAAACACAACCGAGTTGAAAACTTCCTCCTTTTGTGAAGTCGGTCGAAAATATGACACTGACGCCGTCTTAGCGGAAACTGAAAAGTGTTATTTTTTCATATAAACTCTCTGATTTCATTGCTAATTTTGGCTATTTGTGCGCCATTTATCACGATTTTCCACTGCTATCCCCCGAAGGATGCTTGTTGCACTTTCAAGGTGATTGCAGACAGGGCGGCCGCCGAGAAGAAGGACTGCCAGGAGTCGTGGCACGGTTGCTGCGCGGACGGCGTGACGGCGGCGCGGGGCCCGGGGGGGGCGGGGTGCCCCTCGCAGTGCGGCTGCCATCGGCTGGGCTCGGTGTCCGAGCGGTGCGACGACGGCCAGTGCCAGTGCCGCCCCGGCGTCGGCGGCCAGAAGTGCGACCGCTGCGAGCCCGGCTACTGGGGATTGCCCCGCATCGGCACCGGGCACACCGGCTGCATACGTGAGTGGCGTGTGCCGGCCGCGTTCCCATTGGTCGTATAACGTGGATGCAAGCGGGGGCTCCCCGCGGCGATGGTTAACTCGGCCCGCGGACAACTCGATCGATACGTGGCGTGTTCAATAATTTTCATGCCAAAATGTAGTCGCTCATATTCTTAAATTTGTCTTCGGCGCGACGACACTCATCGCATAACTTATTCATTGTCTTTAGATTATTTGACGTAGTACGATTCACGATAGTCGTTTTCCAATTCATTTTTTCCTATTTATTAATACATTAGCGGGCCGCCTTCGCATGGGTGCCATGCATTAGTTTGTTTTTAAATACAGTTTTTTAATTATGGATTTTTTATATTTTTTATGATTATGGTAAGTAGCGTTAGACGTGTGTTCATTTATTGTCGCGGTTGTAACGACACGCTGTATACATAACTCTTCCTCTGGAATCACTCTATCTAGTAAAAAAACTGCATCAAGATCCGTTGCGTAGTTTTAAAGATTAAGCATACATAGGGACAGACAGACAGCGGGACAACTTTGCCTGTGGTATGCTTTTCAGATGCAACAACTGATAATAGAGCCAATGTAGAAACTCATATAAGGATATAGCGGAATAGTCACAAGTAAAACATATTACTTTTTTATGTGTATCTTCGAAAGGTACCATGTACAGATACCACTTCGTCTCGCTGCCTCCTTTACGACCTTACCTTTTACGGCAGGCAGGGGATACCTTAGCCCTATTCTTCGAGCCCGGGACATATCGTAAAAATTTATCGGTTAGGTACCTATTTGTATAACAACAAAATAATTTTTTGATGCTTGCTTGGTTTCAAGACAAAGTGTATATTGAACACAAATAAGGCAAAACAGCTGAAAAGTATATATTAAAGTTAAATAAAATCCCAAATTCGTAAACATCTAATCCATAATTTTTATCTTGTGCTAAAGATATTTATCTAGACAGAATACGGCAACCCCATGCCTTTAATACATTTGGTTGTTGCGGTTATATTAAGCAAAACTTAATACGTATTTATAACATCATATCTTGATGGAAAACCCCGGCCGCCTCAGCTTTTTTCAATTAAGTCTTTACGGATCAAGATTTGTCGAACTACCCCGAGATGACTTTTTTATTTTTATTTAAAAATTATCCCTTAGTAAACATAGTAAAAGAACAACATACTTTCAATTTAAAAGAAATATAGAGTAATTTTTGTTATGTTTTATTAAAATATCGATAAACGGATAAATTTAATACTAGTAATAATTTTTTTGTCCATTATCCCACCTAGATGCGGTTGTTTCAATTAAATTGGTAATACTAATTATTTTTTTACGACTGGCCGCTTGCCTGCCGTCTGCCCTCCCTGGGGATAAATACCTAGAACCCGAATAATTATTTATCGTTCATACAGCGTGTCGTTACAATCGCGACAATAAATGAACACACATATAGAGGATAACTTTTTAAAATTGTATTAAGTATTTACATTCTTTAAACATCAATATTTATCTAGTTAAACTTTACAAAACAAACATTTTTAGAACACCCTTACGTATAAAACTGTAACGTAAAGTTCTTTTGTAAAGGTCACAAAGCATATGAATGGGTTGATTAAATTTAAAAGAGATAAAACAATACTGTTAGAAGAAGAGACTTGTAATGCGACGTTGTGGCAACGAATGAAAAAGTCTCTGAATGAATCAGTCAGTTGCAGTTGTATAGGATTTTACAAATTTTGTTTCTTTTTTATTTATTTAGTTTGTTTGAAAAATATGGAATTTTTTTAACGTTTTAAATTTTTTTATGATTGTTGGCAAGTAGCGTTAGACGTGTGTTCATTTATTGTCGCGATTGTAACGACACGCTGTATAAATGCCCGGGTGGGAAACACGAATCGAGCGCCGAATTCAATAGCTTAGCAACTGTGCCGAGTAACTAATGAAAGTAATAATGATGGACTAAAATTGCAATGATGGTCCGGTAGCAGAAATGTCGACTTGCAAATTCATGGCTAGCGACGTGTAACAGTGTATCAATGAATTGCCGACATATCATTTCAGTATTGCCCATTATTTAACTATGTTCTATACGTGCATGAACGGATATTTGTTCAATTACAAAAAGTCAAGATTTTCACTTATGCATTGAGATTACACGAATAATCGTTTAATATCAATGTATATAATATCACGGACACGTTAATGCGATAACTAATTACGTTTAAATATCAATTAGCATGCGGCTGCTCCGCCTTCGGCTCAGTGCGCGAGGACTGCGAACAGATGACGGGTCGTTGTGTCTGCAAAGCCGGGATACAGGGACAGAAGTGCACGATCTGCTCAAACCACGAGCACACACTGGGGCCTAATGGCTGCTTCGATCGTGAGTATTAACATAATCAATCGATTTATATTCGCCTCGGGCGCGTTAAGCGTTCCGAACGCGTTCCGCGGGGGCGCGCTTTACACCGATGTGCCTCCGTGATTTAGCCGAGTCGACGCAGCTGCCGGCGAACAGCTGCGAGCAGATGACGTGCTACTTTGGCGCGTACTGCGTGGTGAGGGGTGGGCTGGCGGCCTGCGAGTGCGGCGCGCCCGAGTGTGCGGCCGCGGAAGGGCCGACCGTGTGCGGCAGCGACGGCCGCAGCTACGCGTCGACGTGCCATCTGCGCGCGCACGCCTGCAACACGCAGTCGGACGTGGTGCTGCAGGCGTTCGGCGCCTGCGCGGAGACGACGCCGCACGTGCGCCGAGGTAGCCGCTCCGCCCACGAGCGCCCCGCCCCGAACGCCATCCGCACGGTAGGCTCGCACCCTGAGTACCAGAGCTCGACCTCGCTGCAGTACACCGACGCGTCGGTGGACACCAGCGACAGCGGCAAGCCCGACAGTCCCGAGCCCGAGTCCTGCGTCGACGTCCTACCGCCGCTCGGATACCGCTAGCGCTAGTCGTAGAGTGTTGCACATTGTAGTACGTAGCCTTCTAAACGCTCTCCTGGAAGCTAGCCTCAACAGTTTATCGTGTCTATGGTTCGCCCTCCGTTAAGCTAACCACAAAAGTTTATTGTGTCTATTGGTTCGTTCGCAGATAAGCTATATCGTTCGTACAGACCGGTGACAGTTAACGACGAATACGAGGACCGCTGTCTGAGAAAGACAACGAAGCATCACCACGCCATTTATGACAACTTCGAGGAGGAGCAATACGTGACCAATGAGGTGGAGGATTATTACCCGCTCTACGAAGATTATTACGACGGTCGCAATAAAGATGCGTACATCCCGCCATTGTTCGACGGGCGTGCGCACATGACGGCCCGCGCGCGGTTGCCCGCCAAAAGTTTCGATATATGGGCCGAGGTCTCAGCTGTTTGCGGCGAGGGAGCGTTAATGAGCGCCTCAGGTGTGAGAGATTATTTATGGGTCGGTTTCGTGGAAGACAAGGCGGTATTGCGCTGGGACGCAGGCAACGGCCCATTGGAATTACGCTCAGGGAAGGTCAGAATTGATGGGAGGTCTAAAATATCGGCGAGGAGGTATAAGAAAGACGCGCTATTGAAGTTGGGATCGACTGCGGCTAGGGGTTCGACGCACGGGCCGATGAGTTCGCTGGACATCGACCCCTATATTCATATTGGCCATGCACCTGATAACGTTACGTTGTAAGCGATTTAAGTTTGTTTTTATTTTACCATTCATTTTATTTGACTTTCAACAAATTTTGTAAAAATATTTTTTTCTCAAATTATATCTACACTGTACCGATAGAAATTAATGTACGTTTGTGTTAATTGAAGTGCAATTCTGACAATTCGTAAAATGTTCTTTCGTTCAAAAATCGAGTTAAAGCCAGCCAGAGCAATCTTCTCGTCTCATAGGGATTGAACTGTTTTGTAGGTTATCAGGGATGAGAGTTCACGGTTTCGTCGGTTGCGTGCACCGTCTGCGGATTAGCGGGCGCGACGTCATTCCTCCCGCCCGCGGAACGCCCGTCACCACACACGGCGTGCGCCCCTGCACCCCGCACAACCTGGCGCACGTTGTTTGCCCTTAATAAAAATCAATTTCATCCGCTCGCAAAGTTCATTTTTTCGACTTTCTTATACGTTGCTGCCGTTTCGCACCCTATTACGGCGGCTTACGATCTAAATTCCTCCGCAAGCGATTGATGGATGACTCCGCCGGGATGAAACTCCGTGTCTGCGCCCGTGGAGACCGAATGTGTTTCGTACACGTTCCCTGATTACGCGAAAAGTGTATGTCGAAAATTTTCGTATTATCTCTAAAGTTGCTGATTTAAAATCTTAAGGTATCGAACCTTTGGTAAAATGTATACGGTTAATTGTTAATTAGCACACTTTTAAAAATCAGGATGTAAAAGCGAAAAGCAACCAAATGTCGCTAAAAATATCTCTTAAAACATGTGACATTATCGATGAAATAATTGAGTAGGCGGACTATCGGCCAAAAGTCGATATCAAGATTTGCAAGACGTTACTTCACATATAAGATGCTGTGTTTTCTCAGATTTACTATAAGCCCATCGATGTTATATTCTATTTATTTATTTATATGTTTTGCTTTAAGGATATTATGATCGTTTTAAGGAACTATGAATTTTTCAGCCTAGTAATAGTTTTTGTGATATGATTATAGTGTCTAACCGAACATGCAAATTTTCAATGGCTATTGTGAATTAATATCGTGGATTGGCCAAACATCGTAATTTATCCCGGAAATCTGTTGTATTAAGATTGGGTTTGTTTTTGTATATGTGGCAATAATGATGTAACATTCATTTTATAGCAAGAAAAACCTACGCGTGGGTTAAATTTAATTTACAATCTAGATTTATACTAACTTTGTCTTACTAGAAGTTGTTTTTTTCATGACATAAAATATAATTGTAAAATATATAATAATTATTATGGAACAAACATTGTGATGCAGATAATTGTTAAGCGAATTAGAAAAACTAGTAGTTAACAGAATAATAATAACCATCATAAAGAGTTTCATGTAGATCTTTACTAGCGTGGTTATAATGACTTAATTAATATATCGAAATATATTTCTTGTAGAGTACAGTTCAATTTTACATATCTTCGAACTTATCGTTCCGTAATTCTTATACGACGAACAATTTTCGTAATCTGTGTTTTTCGAATTTTCAGGGTTCTTTGTAAAGGTTTTAACATATTATATGTCTGCAATGTCGGAATACCTTCTTTCATTTATAATGCCCTCTTTCATTTAGATTACATTACCTTGACGTAATTTTATGATAGACAAGATAAATTTCCAGTCACTCTTGTCAGTTTTCATGGCCGCCCCATTATATCCTTATCTACATTTCCCTCTCTCTTCCCTTTATAATCCTTCTTATCGCTGTCTACTTTATAAAAGCTCAGAAATAATTTCGTTAGATGAACGGCTGAAAGCGAGTAGTAAAAGTTTTTAAGTGCCTTTAACAACTGATTATTAAAATACATAGTAATAAGCGAAACATGATGAACTTGCTTTCTTAATAATTTTATTGTACAAAAAAAAACTTCAGAGATGAAAAAGAACATCTTTTAGATCGACTTCTTTATTTAACCTGATTATTATACATATTTTTTTATATTATAGTTATCGCGTTTTAATTTTGATTTTGTAATTCCTGAAGTTTCGACATGGTCACGGGACAGACTGACGCCCGGTTTCTGAAACATTGATCATGGTAGAAATTAACTAATCAGCTTATCATTCTGATCATGAAGATCAATTCAGAGAGTTTAACCATCCTTTTGGCAACTGAAATGGCATTTTAAAAGCCATTTGACAGCTGATTAGTTAATTTCTACGATGATCAGGGTCAAAGTTAACCCCGGCTACCTTCAATTATTTTCTTATTTATTTTTATTCCGACCACGTAAAAGGAGCTTATGGTATCTGTAGCCAAGATATGGTTGAGATCGATTAAAAATAGCATAAATAACGAGAACTCAGGAGGCAGATACGTACTTACGTTGCTTAAATTATTTCATTCAGTGCCGTTTCTATTTTAAGTTCTAATTTCACAAAAAGGAGAAATGTGCTAGAATCAAAATTACGATTTTTGTTTTAATTATTAAAAAGGATTCCAAAATGTATTCAACATTATTTTATAAAATTACTGCGTTCTTTAATAGTTAGTAAACCAGGATTAATATACCTACATGGATTACATTTATCTTTGCGAACCGATTGAGTTCTCTTATAGACATAACGTTCGTTTGTGAAGGCTCGATCATAAATTCTAGCTTCGGATTTACAACTTGAGGAGTAAAAACCCTGGGTATGGAATAAAAATTACTTACTGAAATAATGTTGGAATGTGCTTGCTAAAATTACGATAAAACTAAAGGATGATAATGTGGGGTTAAAATATAATTTGCGTTTTGAAACGCAGGAGTAGGTATTTTCTATTTATTATCCTAATAGGTGTAGTGTTTTAAAAAAGCATAAAATATGGTGCACATTACTCTGCCCAGGAATTAAACCCAAACTGTGGACTGGTAGATCAATTATTATTTTCCTACGTGAAGTACCCATCAAATTTCTACTAGTAAATATTACAGTAGCTTCCGTCATCGAAATTAAGTGTACTTGTCATTAATAACTCAAGTTTATGAATTTTGTATCGGAAACCGCGGCATATAAAGGGCATCGTTAAGCTTTAATGGCATTTCATCGTGTTTCGACACAACGGGTAGGTATTCCGTTGGAGGACCCCTTTTTGGCTCAAGCAGAGCGATCGATGAAATGTTCAATTAATTTATAATTTAATATTTAATAAGAAATGATAATAAAATTATGAACAGTACCGATTGCAGTTGAACAATTAGCTAGCATAAAAAATAAACAAATCAAGTAAGCATCCAGTCTGTGGAACAAAAACAATAGTATATTTTGTGTGTGTATATGTTTAAGTAATTATATTAATGTGATAATTGCCCCTACCACTATTTCTAACCACGCCCCGGGTTGACTGGGAGAGAATGCCAAAAGGCATTAAGTTCGACCTTTGTAATCCCTTTTATTTAAAGGTCGCAATAAAGTATAAATAAATAAAAAAAATGCCTAGTACCCCGATCACTATATGAGATTAAATGAACAAATACTTGCAAAAGAACGCCGTTATCTGACAGGGATTCGACATTATATTGAAAAACCAACCAAACCAGCCTACCAGCCAAGCGCCCTACTTCAAAGTTTTTTATTATGTTTTTTTAGTATTTGTTGTTATAGCTGCAACAGAATCACATCATCTGTGAAAATTTCAACCTGGTGGTCTTAATAATAGGGTCCGAGAAGAAGCGATTTAAAGTGGGTTGTTGGGTTCTAACACCAGTTTGTTACCCTATTACCAACAAACTAAATCAAGACTCGAGCGCACAACCACCGCAAGATACAGTTAGTATTTTCCGTGTGGGTCGGACATCAAGTGGCAGATGTCCATGGGCGGCGGTATTCACTTAACATCAGGTGAACCGTGTGCTCGTTTGACAACTTTTCGCATAAAATAAATAATAAATAAAATACATTTTGAAATGTATATGAAATTAAAGTTCAATTACAATATTGCTATAATATTAACATTCGATTAAGGTAAAATCTAATATTATTGATGTAACTCGTAATATACAGCGTGTCGCTACCATAAATCAATACACAATTATAGGATAACTTATTAAAATTTTATTAATTATTTACACTCTTTAAACATCAATATTTATCGAGTTATTGAATCTTCAATTACAAACAATTTTAGAATACCCTTACGTATAAAACTGTAACGTAAAGTTCATTTGTAAAGGTCACAAAGCATATGAATGGGTTGAATGAATTTGACAGGGATAAAACATACTGTTAGAAGGAGAGATTTGTAATGCAACGCTGCGGCAACGAATGAAAAAGTGGTTTAATGTAATAATCAGTCAGTTGTAGTTGTATAGGATGTTACAAATTTTGTTTCTTTTTTAATCAAATATTAATTTGTTTGAAAAAAATTTTATTTAATTATTGATTTTTTAACGTTTTATATTGTTTTATACTTATTGGCAAGTAGCGTTAGACGTGTGTTCATTTATTGTCGCGTTTGCAACGACACGCTGTATATTCTATTTTCTAGAAGGTAAATTTGTTTCTTAGAGCTGCTTTCTTCAGACAACTTTTGTCTGGAAAAAAGCACCAGATGCGATAAATTTTTTTTGCAAATTATTTGCTAATGCCGAAACTGCTTCTCAAAACTACTAAACTATTTTTGGGAGCAAGAGAGGTTGTTGAAAAATAAATGATAGAATAGAAGTGCTTTCGACACGAATTGTTTCTATCTTTATATAGAAATAATTGACCTTTTTTTTTCAAATGTACAATGTAATGTTTTTTCATTATTTCAGCTCAGAGATTATTGCCAAAAGTTTTATGTGCAGTGATTAAATTAGCAATCGTATCAAAAACCATTACTGCATATAAACAAATATTAAATAGTCCTCAAGTTTCCATGGTAGTGAATGAAAAATATGGAAATAAGAAGTAGAACGATATTGAACAAGGTAGAAGATTATAATTTATCTTTTTACTTACGTAACTTTTTCGATTAAATAAACTTTACAACATATTATATTTTTTTATTAATTAGCAATAAATTTGTTTAAATCGCTATTTATCGATTATCTTTTTTTCTATTTTCTTACTGTGTTCGATGTTGGGTCTAAGAATGCTGAATCAACTACCCATTGTCCCTTCCGAACATGACCTCTAGATGTATGTTTGCTATGAATGCGTAACGTATTCGAAACGTCACGTAGGTAATCCTAATTAAAAGGTGGTATAAAAAATAAAAAAAATGCTTGAAAATCTTTAGGTAAATATAAACAAAATGTGTATTGTTCTCGTAAATTTAAGTTCCTTCCTACCTTCCTTTATATTAAAGAAGCCAAAGTTATTTTAAATATTAAATTAATAATATCAAAAATCAAATGAATAATAGTAAAAATCAACGGAGCACTTATATTCAAATAGGGAGCGTGTTTCTTTATATTTTTTTATTTACATACTGAAATGATGAATGTGAATTTGATGGCTTATAAGAACCTACATTTTACTACCTTTATTTAAAAATGTATGGCAAGTATGATAATAACTACAAATTCAGCTTGTTTGAGTTAAAATGAAAATTGAATATTATAATTTACATTTTTCCTTTTAATGAAGTCTAATTCTTATGACGCGTCAAAAATTATATATTATACCTTATTCTGCCGAAATTTCATCGCAACAGAGTTATTTAGTAAATTGTATTCCGAAATTCGGTTTGTGTACGCAATTTCGAAATACGCTTTCACACGCGCGTTTCTAATCATCGTTATTCTATTTCGTTTAGAATTCACATTAGGACGATGAGCATCCCGCGGTAACGTAAGACATGAATAGAGGCTTTTAGCTATATTAGTATGACGCAGGCGGTTGAGCAAGCAATTGTTATGATGAAATTAATGTCTCCCCTCTAAGCGAATAGTCATTTCATAAGCGGTTCTCTTTCTTTACTCAAACGGTGACTGTCGCTACTTTGTTTGAAACTATGAACTAAAATTAAAATAGAACCTCGATAAAATCCGAATATAATTTTAACTGAAAGATGTAACATTCGCGTTATATATTTAAAAAAAAAAAAACATCCGTTTGTACTATAAACACGTGTACTGTTTATGATTTAGATATTTCCAGATTTTCTCAATGTCAAATAGTTTCCCCTTAAGAAGAGGTAGATGCCTCAATTAAGTTACTAGCTGGTGCCCGGTGTGCTTCGCTGCAACTAGAAAATCAATCTACCTTTGGTTCAAAACGGTTCAAGAGCTGTAGGTGAACATACATACATATATACATTCTCTTATATACATAAAGATGTATAACGTAGTCATATTATATAATATAATCTACGCACATTAGAAAACCAAGTAAAGGGAACACAACTGGGAAGTACATAATAAAAATATAACTTAAAACAAGTAACATACATTTCACGTTCGGATAAAACTTTTGTACATACACAGAAATATCAGGCACGGATTTTTTACGTATCCCACGGTGAAAGAAAAAAAATTGAGGAGGCTTCTATGCCTGAAGATTAATCAACGTAGATTGCAGTGGGCAGCGTGTTAGTTTGCTCCAATAAACGCTTCAAATACCTGCCCTGCGGTAGCTGTAGGTCAAAGTTTTGTCTTCTTCCAGACGAGGAAAATATTTATTGTACCTACGTCTTTACTTGTTCGAGCCATGAACCAGTTTCTACTTCAATACTAGTCCTGAATAAGGTCGTTTTGTTATTATCACGTAGCGGTTTTAAGTTAGATCTACCTCAAAAATATTACGCTGAAAAATATTGACTGTGTATTATAATTTGTTTTAAAAAATCACATTCGATATTTTTCATAGCATCTGAAAGGCAGTGTTTCATGTCCACATGCACATAAACTTGTCTAGGACTTTTTCTTATTCAAAACTGGCATATACTGGTATTAGATATGCTTTTATACCCAGTAAACGGTAATTGGCTAAACTTATCTTTTTTACCATAGGGTTGAAAGGAAAATTTGTTAAAGAAAGAAAACGACATAGTAAAATATCATACCATAGAGCACAGTAGCTTTTTGAAGCTAAGCTGAGACACTGATTTTGTCTTGTTTATGACATAAAACTGCTGGAACGGACGTACTCGTGGATATATAGAGAAACGGTCTTAAAAGTAAACGTTACGTTTTAACGTTTACTTTTACCTTCTCATATTTTCATTTTAGAGTGGTTTTTCGTGACGAACGTTAGCATTATTTTATTATTCATTTAATTTCGCCTTCTTAGGTAGCTGTGGCATTAATGAGAAATGGCCGTCGGTTTAGGGGAAACAAAAAAAGGACGCGGATAGAATAAACGATGCCTGAGAGTAAAAGTTTTTAAGTCCTATTAATAAGACAGTTCTGTCACGATGAAAAATGAGGCGCTACTTCAGTTACGTATTCATAGCGCGTCATGGGCCTCGGTGCTTACGAATGACTAAAGTGTACCGCTGAAGATAAACAATTTAGATAAGCGTAACGTCGTATTAATAATGATAACACACTATAACATAAAGCGGAATTTAATGCCGAGCTAACTGCGGGAGCGCGTAAAACAGCTGCTGCCGGGCGATAATGCGTCGCTTGCTGCATAACATTTTCATAGAGCGCCTAGTTCGCGACATTGTTAGAATTTTCAAACGGGTTAATATCAAGAGCGGCGGAGGAATGTTTAATTACCGCTGTGACGTCCTCGGGCGCAGACAGTTGACGCCAGCGCGGCCTGATCTGCTCTCCCTCTGCCGACACGCATGCCTGTCTCTCGTTATGCCTACATTATGTGTTTCATTAGGAAATTTCACTCCGCTGCGTATTAAGCGACTCTGGAATAAAGCTTATTTCTGAATGGATTTTTGTGAGTGTGAAGTTCTCACATGGAAACTTGTGATGTACTTTGATGTGTATTGATCTTAAACTCATTTGTTTTCCTCCACGATTTATTATCTTATTTAATAAAACAATGAAACTATTTAAATAGCTTCTATGAATGGTACTTAAATGAAGCCGCAATGAAAAGGACGTCTGGCAAACATTTTTTTTTCGGTTAATAAACAAATTAGTCATAATTTATAATATAACTTTTAGGGTGAATTAAAACGAAGTCCCGATAGTGACTTAAAATATATACCTATATGAAATCCATTTTAATTTTTGTTAACAAGTTATGCAGGAACATTATGTCCTATCAAAGAAAACTAGAATGTGTTACAAAAAACAAGTTTCTATTTTTTTCGGTAAAGGCTTTCGCGAGTCATTAGGCGAAGTGATCAAATACTTCACATAACCGACCGACGCGCAAAGAACTCCTCTGAAAGGTGGACTATGCCCTATTTCCTTCTCACATTGTCCAACATGTGACCGCGCCCATTGATACTTATACAAAAACATTTTTGAAGTCCGTTTGTTTTCTTCATATTACTTTGTAAGCGCAAATTCTAAATAAAATATAACCTGTCGCATGCTGTATCGTACCTAACATAATTTTATGGCCATTTCAAACGCAATTGCTTTCTAATCATGATTCTATACAAATGCGAATTAAATGGCCCAACAAGCGGCAGTCTCGCGGGCAATCATTCATAGCGGCGCAATGCAAGCGATCTCATAGATTTCGCTCCTGGCGAGGAATTAGCGCGAAAGCCACGACAATTATTTACGACGCCTCCACCGCGGAATTGCAGAGCGCTGCACTGCTGCCGCCTTTTATGTTTATTCACGGGTTATTATTCGCTGGCGGAGGATTATTCGGAAACGTGAACGTAGGTGCGCTCGTATATCACCCGGCCGCAGTTGGTGGCAGTTGCGAAAGTAATCGCTGCAAACATGTCGGAAATTATCCCCGGAATAGGCTTAGAGCGACCATATACGTAACGGATGCACACATGGAATGCGTTATGTGATTTTAACTTTTACACGGTGTTTCGAATCCATTCAATTCTGAACACAGCGGGGATTATTTGTACTCGACTTGTTTTATTCGAAATTCTGTGTGGGTGAAATTGCGAAGAACGCAAAATCGCCGAGCAAAGGTTGTCGGTATTAATAAAACGGAAGCCTTTTGAAGAATTTTGAAATGACTCGTTCTGGAAATCATTTCGGCAATGATCGAATGCCGAATAGCCAGCATTAAAACTGTGCAATGTAGTTTACGTTTATGTTTCGCACGTAATCCCCTCATCGTGTAAAATACGGGACGTCGGTAAATATTAAACTGTGCCATAATGTCGCTTCTGTCGCCGTCGTTAATATCGTCCAGTGATTTAATCATCGTCCATAATTATTGCAATTCAAGCAATTTCCTACTCATAAAACGTTCATTAATAGTGTAATTTTACACTCAAATATAGGATTTTCTAGACATTTGTGGTAAAAGGCGATATTTCCTTAAACATTTGTAAAAACCACGGGCTAGGAGTGAATAAACCACCCAAATGGTGCAGTCAGAAGGCAAATTGACTGGCCTCGCCACTTCTTATTGCTGTTATATATAGTTGTCTTTATAGAGTTATACAATTCACATTAAGTGATCTAAGTAATGTTTCCCGCGGATATTTGTTTCCCAGCAAAAAAGGCGGCAAGCTGCGTTCGAAAGGCAAGAAGCAAATTGATTTTTGATGTCATCTCTTACGTTGCGTTAATAATTTCTCCGCGCCACTCGGCCGCATCATTTACACGCAAAAACAATTTTATCAGTTAACTTTAATGACTTCGGTATGTAAAAGGATCCTTCACTGAGCGGTCATTATGCATGATAAATTGAATTAATAACTTCTCCTTCTACTGACGTTAAGGGTATCTCTTTTATTCCGTTCCAATACCGTACCCAAACGTTGGCGCTGTAGGTAATTATGCAATGTTTTGTGGTTGAAATTTACCAACTTTACTTAATCTCGCAACAATTCCCCAACGCGGTACTTATCCATTTTAAAAAGCGTAACCAACGATGGCGTAGTTGTCGCTTTGAGTTACCGCATTATCCGAGTCCAACTGTAAGTTATGTGTTCTGTATGAAATTCAACGCGTTGTTAACATAAGTTTTTTATAGAGACGTCGGGAAAACGTAATACGTTAGACGGTTTTGAATGCGACAAATCAAGATAATGTCGCCGATAAACGTCGTATCCAATCACCGGGTGTCCTGTTACGGGTTGGCGTTATTTACGCGTGGCCAATCAGTATGGAAATATGTGGGGTAGGTGAACGGTCTGGAGCGAGTGGGTGCAAGCGGTGCCTCGCGACAGCCTCCGGCGCGGCCTGCGTCAGTGCGCACGCTCCTATCTCTAACGAACTATTGTGCCATTGTAAATCCATCCCTTATCTTTTGTGATCGCGCGAATCAAATTACCTTTAAAGCGCCACGGGTTTGTAGCAAGTGTTTGTGCTAGTCAATTTCCGCGATGTGGCATCGACACGTCATGTTTATTTTGTTAACAATCACCAACGCGGCGGACATGGTCCGGCGTTCGGAGGATGCCGAGGTGATAAGGCGCCACAGGTCCGTCTGCAACACGAACTTTACCCACGACAGGGTGTTGCTGAAGCGCGTCACTATGATCTCCAAGTACATATTCATCGGTAAAGTTTACGGAGTGAAATCGAACGATCGTAATACGATTTACGAAGTGAGCATTCGTCGCGTCTTAAAGGGGGATCTGAACGACGCGCGGAGTGTAATTAGTTTTGGGACCGCTAATTCGATTCGATTCGCGGATGCGTCTGTTTTGGTTCATGGTACGCTTGGGGGAAAGTGCCCGCTTTTGCGCGTTCGCAGTTACGCTATTTTCCTCACCGAGAAGAAGCATAAGGAAGGAAATGTTCGTTTGAGTTTAGTGATAGAACCAGTTTTGCTGACTTTAAGGAATATTGGGATTGTAGAGGCCGCGATTAAAGGTTTGTATTTGTAAATAAGATGTATACAATAAATCTAAAGTGACGGACACGGTGCAATTTTCGTATTTAATAGGAACGTTTTATAAATAATGATATATACTTGCGGAGCTGTAAGTCAAGAAAGCTAATTATAAATAAATTGCTTATTCATACAAAGTTAAAAAGGCTAGTACTTAACAATCTTACGAAATTATCAAAAACGTTAGTCTACAAAATTCTATTTAGAGCATAAAGGACGACGTTAATGAGTATATACTTATGTGATAAGTATCGACAAAAAATTTCTAATGAAAAAGAAAATGTTGGAAGTAAAAAAATGACGTTTAAAATGGCGGCAACGAATGGCGGATACGTTGAGAGAATTAGAAGATCATAATATATTCAATTTTTATACGACGCTGAATTTAGAATTTCTCGTACCTACCTATGTAAGTGTGTCCATTTGTATCAGATTCGTCAATAACAATGGAAATGATGACATGATCGTGCGAAATGGTTGTGAGCGTACTTAATCAATTTCATTCTGAAGTTAATTACTGAAATTTAATTGATGAATTTAAAATGTTCATAGTCAAGGATCTCGTTTTGTTGTTTATTTGCGGCCGAGTCTTCCCGCCGCTCTTAAGTTATTCCATTACAAGAGAAAGTCTAGGGACAGATACAATTATTGACTGTGACTAAGAAACAAATCGCTTTACATAAATTAAATTTACGGATATTTTAATGGGAGCGAGCAAAGAGTGAATAAACAAGGAGGCGGCAATTAGCGGCGGGGCGGGGCGATGCTCGGAGGCAGGCGGTCGTCGGATTGAGTGGAACTTATTGTGCTTGTCCGACAAGGCTCTTTAATGACTTTTCAATATTACAACTTCAAATGACGCCCTAATGCGCCGCGTCAGATTTTTAGTGGACGTGCAATAATAATTCACCTCGGGCGGTGCAACTTCACAGGTTCACTTCGCAGCCGAAGGAAGCAATTTCAGATTTGTTTTACTCCTATTCTGGAGCGACTTGCTTGTTTACTAATCTAGTGTAAGAATTTAGATATTGCATGGTAGACACTGAATTATTCAGATGTTTTCATTACTTATAAAGTAATTGAAGAGGTTTCTTCATAAAACCGTTACAATTTAGTAATTGTTATAATTTAGTAATAGTAGAAAGGAAAAAGTAAATATACAATTATGAAATATACGCCTGGCCACATTCTCTTTTAAAATCAGATTTTGTCGAAGATATAAGTCATATCAACAAGTGTTTAAATGGTGTTTCTGATACTGAGTGTGTGTGGCAGTATTGAAATGTAGCAATTAAAATATATTTTACGAGTTTCTAGTCGCCTATACCAGCAATAAGCTGCATTCCTTTACGCTTCAGAAACAGTTACTGGTATCACCCAAACCTAAAGAACAACGGGCGTACTTAAACATATAAACGTCCAGATATTATTGTTTTTTTTTTAATGAAAAACGGAGGCAAACGAGCAAGTGGGATGTTTGGATGTTACGAAATGTTTTACAAATTTTAAATTTTTACTACTTACCCAGACATTAGGCTGGTCTTCTGTGATACCAATTTTTTATTGCAAAATATAATAAATACTTTATGATAATACCAAATGAAATTCAGAGACTATAAAATGCCTAATAGAACGGCACGGTAATATGTAAATATTGTAATGACCACAAACAAATTTTTCTTTTCAATTAGTACAACTGTTTGATAAGATTTAGCAAAATTATTTGCGGGAAATGTAACGTGGTATGCGGTGGAAGGGTGGGTGGGCAATAACTAATAAGTCTCTAGAATATTACTCTCAATAATCCAGTTGGTTTGCGTTATTTGCATTGCTTACTCGCTCAGTATTTCTCTTTGTAACAATTAGGTGCAGATATTAGTTATCCCGTTCAGCTGGTTTGTTTGAAGCGTATTATTTCGTGCCATTCGAGTAGATAGAATGGCATTCAGATTAAAACTACTACTTTGTGTTAGCAATTAGTGAAATATTAGCTTTACTAAATTATATGTAACCTACTTGAGAATGTACTATGATTTTTAATATTTGTATATTAAACTCTGACTACGTGACTCCAGCCTAAATATACGATGTATTCGTATTATGGACGTTAATATTAAAAATACAAATGTTTGTCAATGTGCTTGTTCATTCTTGCGGCAACCGCTTGGCGGATTTGAATCAAATTTGGAATGGAGATAGCTTTTACGCTTTATTATAACAGATGTTTTTTTTAGAAAAATATTGTGCAAATCCGCAGTAAACGCATAAAGTAGAGATGTTTTTATATAGTTTTGCACGTGGCAACACGATTTTGCAACCGTGATTAAATGAGCTTTCTTTCATATAATATTTGCGTATTTGCGTGCTAATTGGTTTTTAGTTATTACTATAATAACGTGAAACTGGGTTGGTAAAACTCAATTTTCTGTTTACATTTCATTCTTATGCTTTGCGAAAAAAAGGTAATAATTTTCTAACGTTGGCTAGAAATAATTTTACATCCGAGGGAAAAATAAAATTACTTTACGCGAGCGTTAATTAAATTAGAAGTTTTGTGTTCGTGAAGTTTCTAATGAACACTTTCAACAGAATTGAAGGAATTTTTTAAATAAAAAGAAAGAACTTTAGCAAAGGAAATGTGAATTAATTAATAGAAAGATACTCAATATATTTAGGTAATATTAATAAAGGAATTGTTTTAACTGACAGGAGTGTTATTTTTAAGACGGTGTGAGACAAAATATCTTTGATATTAAGTTTCCTATGATAATAAGACATGTAATTTATGTCCATTCGGAAATTTAATTTTGATTCCTTAAGCTGTACGCCATGAAAAGGGAATAAAACATGAGCTTATGCCAGACATGTGCATATAATTAGTGGTAAAACAATTATGTAAAAATAAATTCTACCTATGTACTCAACAAGCGTCATCGAACTGACATATAATAAACCTTAGCTTATCTTTCGTTTGGAACTTCATGAGCTTCGAAAAAATAGTAACATATTAGCCATTTCTATAAAATATAAAATTAGTTATACTGAATGCAGAACTTGCAACACTAGAAATCCAACAATGCGACATCTTCCGTTCGAATTATCATTATAAAACGATATTCGAAATCGTTTGTATGCTGGAAAGGATATAACAATGGATGCGCCACGCATTGCTTCAAATGCAAAAAAAAAAACAATGTAGATAAAAGACGTTAAGATTTTCGTCGGTGTGGCAATCACCCCTTTAGCTTAGTGGCTAAAGCGTCAAGCCGCGAATGCTAAAGACGTGGCTACGATTCCTAGCAGCGGCGACAATCTTTTCGTACTTTTTCTACAAATTTTAAAACTATACAATGTTACATTATAGTTATAGTATTAATGTCATAATACTAACTTGTTGTAGTCATATAACATCGTTTGTGTCATAAACATTGTTCACGTGATGAATATAAATTTGATATTAAACGCGAGAGGATTCATAAATATAACAGTAAATAGAGTTTCTGCCACCATCTACCATGTAATATCATTTTTCGAACTAAAACCAAACTGTTATAGAGAAAATAACATTTTTTTAAGTGGACCACATTATCAGCAGTACTTTTAGTATGGAACTCGAGACATTCTTCTTTCTCGATTCTACGCTTGGCGACATCTCTCGTTCGAATTATCATTGTAAAACGATATTCGAAATCGTTTGTATGCTGGAAAGGATATAACAATGGATACGCCAAGCATTGCGTCAAATGCTAAGAAACAATGTAGATAAAAGACGTTAAGACTTTCGTCGGTGTGGCAATCAGCCGTTTAGCTCAGTGGCTAGAGCGTCAGGCCGCGAATGTCGAAGACGTGGGTTCGATTCCTACAGCGGCGACAGTCTTTTCGTACTTTTTCTACAAATTTTAATGTTCAATCTTAAGTGCGGAGATTACCACTATAATAAATTTAAAATTGTATAGTGTTACTATTATTAGAAGATATCTTAAGATTTTGTGTCTTTTGTACTAACGAATAAAAAATATAATTCCGCAGGCATCTGTTAGAATGTTAGTTCATTACGCCATTTCCATTATAGCCACCCTCCGCCGTATCTTTGTAATATGTGCTGGCACAATTTCACGTAACTGTGTTTATGGGCCTCGTTCATACGCGTATTATGGGGTGCCATTTTAGGGCAAGGATTTTGCTAGCGAAGTTGCTGTGGTGAATCCACTTTATGATATATATAAAATTCGCTTTAAAAAAGCATATCTATAGAGTTTAAAAGTATTTGTTACAGTCAATCTATTATACTGGTATTAAAATGTTTTTATTCATTGCAAGATATAAAGTTACCTCATGATACAAAAGAACAGAATAAGTACTCTACATATTGTAAAATTAGCATTTATTCATCTTTTGTACTATGGTAGGTCCAAGAAGCAGCCCGGCTGTAAGGTGCGTGATGCTAGGTCCACAAGGTAGTGTCACGGCTTCACATAATATCGGTGAATAGAAGTACTTACACTGTACCTGGTGAGGAAATAGGGTCCACATCTTGTTAAAGGGTAAATACCTGTGGGGTTATCCTTACGTGGTCAGGTGAACCGCCCGCTAGTTAACCAGTTTCTTTTAAAAGAATTTTACACATACAGTTCACAATTACTCTACCGTCCGTCGATCTCACAATTCCAATAGCTGTGAGGATGTATTTTAACATATCCGAATGAATTTCCCGCCATAAATCGTCCTTTTATGTTATAATGTTGCAAATGGAGCGTTTATTTACAACGAACCTTGGAAGAAATTCTGATGAAAATTTCTCTATTGTTCTACAATTAATAAATGTAAACAACATTACATATCATTAAAGAACTGAAATGTTAGAACTTTCACTCACTTTAATTTCTTTAATGCATAAACAAATATGAGTGAATATAATTTCATTAAAAGATAAGTTTTTTTACTAATCTTTGATATATTCTTAAAATGTAATCTAATACTATATTTTCAAAA